TAATGAAGGATTTTATTTTACATTTTATTAATCACAGTGATGATCTTAATGGCTTTAAAGATAAACTTAAAAAATCTTAAATAGTTCACAGATAATATCAAACAGGAACCAAACAGGTCAAAAGTTCTAATGCTGAAAAAAACAGAACCAATGAGGTTAATATCCATCAGATTAGTCACATGACCAGGTCTGAGACGGACATTCAGAGAGGCGGAGTCTCTCAGAGGGATAGATGGAGGAGGTTCAGCAAATCAAATATTACAAGTTTGTTTGGAGAGAAGTTTTGAGTGTTTGTTAACCCCCCCCCCCCCCTCTCTCTCTCTCTCTCTCTCTCAGAGTCTCGCCCTGTCCAAACAGCTGATCCGGTCGACAGAGAGAGAGCGTCTGCTCCAGGTTAACGACGCGGAGGTGGAGCGTCTGGTTGAGCGCTGGCTGTCGGACGAGTGTATGAACGCCATCATGACCTTCTTCCAGGCGAAAGCGAAACTCTGAGGGAGTCGTGTGTGTGTGTGTGTGTGTGTGAGTCAGAGAGTGTGTGTTTCTAACATGATCAGCTGATCATAGATAATCATTTTTAGATGTTGACTGTGACAGATGAAGGGACTGAAGTGGACCTGCAGTTAGAGCAGAAGAACCCTGAACGCTGCAGGACCTCCTGACCAGCAGGGGGCGACTCCTCTGGTCAAAACCAGCAGGTGACTCAGTCTGTTTCCTTTCTTCAGTGAACGATCTGAAGTCTGACTCTGAGTCTGGACGCAGTTTTCTAACCCGTAAAGATCACAGGTTTTAGTTTGTAGATCTTCAGAGGCTGAATCAGACCTGATGGACCGCCGCCGTCATCCTCTGCTGCCTTCACCTTTTTAAGTCCTTATTTCCGTGTTCTCAGACTGTGAACTTATGACTCTGTGTTTGTGACGAAGGAAACAGAAGGACTGAGTTTGTGTTTGACGCCGAGTGCCTTCAACACTTTGTAACGTCTCTCAGAGGGACGAGTTCAGATCTGATCTCTGTCCTCGTCCTTCACTCCATCACTCAATAAAAGATCAGAACTCTAACGGAAAGGGGAGTTGTTGATTTATAACATGACTGATGAAGTAGTCGTTCTTAATTATGTATTATTGATTCAGCAGGAAAATGTCTGATCTCTGAAACCATCATCTACATCTGAAAAAGATTATACGTATGTATATTAGACAGTATGGATACGTATAATCTAAAGTGTCAACCTGAAGTATCTTTAAAACACCTTAAATGTCTTAAATAATATCTTAGTATTAACATTAACTGTTAAACTGTGTTGGAGGACCGAGTGTTTGTGTGTCTGACTCGGTTAAGAAGTGATCAGGTCAGAAAATATGTTCAGACCACTTCAGAATTAAATATTTAATCATCTGTAAAATATTTTTAAAGGTTCTCGTTCCTCATGATTTAATATTATCTTTGTGCACTTTAACCATAGATCCACCAGGGGGCAGCACCCACCTGTACAGTCGAGTTTCTCTGTTGGAGTTTCTAAAGTGAATAAAAGTTTAAAGAGTTAAAAAAAATGGACCCGTCAGTCTTTAGAGAGACTTCCTGAGCTCTTCTTCAGACAGACTTTAAACTCAGACCTTCAGAGACCGACTGAAACATCTGCAGCAGGTAAACAGGCTGTAACAGAACCTCTGATGGGTCAGAGGGAGTCCTCTAAAGTTCTGGTTTTGGTCCTCAGATGTCAATTAGTGAGTTTGTGGTTTTGTTGACTTCAGGGGTTAAAAAAACTGACCAGGTAGACCGGTATCTTCTAGTCCAGACAGGTGGCCTCAGATTTATTCCATTAAGTCATTTTATTCTGTTCATCTTCAACACTCAGATTTATTCTTCTCCTCATATAAAAGGGGGTTCTGGTTTAAACCTAAATTACTAATGTCTCTTTTAATTTTCACTGTAAAGCAGCTGAAACAAAACTTCAGAACCTGATCCAGATAAACCATTTTAAAACGCTACAGAACTTTGTCCACAAGGGGGCGCCACAATCCACTCAAAGTGAAAGATCCTGCTTTGAATTGCCACTGCTGCTTTTTGATGAATATTTAATGAGGATGAAATCATGTCACAGCGTCATATCGACGTTATCTCTTCTGTTTCTGCAGAGAGTCGACCATTCAGGAGCGAGTTTTTAAAACGACAAAAGATGAGACACACTTTGTTGATCTTATTCTCCTTTCATGTCGAAGCACACTCTTTTACCTCAAACTTTCATATTTTAAACATGATTTTCTCTCTGATTCATGAACCACCTCCTCCGTCAAATTAAACAGATCTATTCTGTGTGTTCGGATCAGATCCTTTTAGGAAACCCGGGCCTGCAGCTCACTCAGTTGGAAAATGGCGTCCTGAACTTCGGGTCCGTCGAGGCTTTTCAGCTCGTTTTATTTAAGAGGGCAACTCCGAGTTTTCCTCCTTTGTCTTCAGTCTGAAACATGCTGAGATCTGCTGTTACAAGGAGCATCGTACACAAACCCCTGACAGATAAATCTGAACTCTTAAGGAGATGAACCAAAGTTTGGAAATGTTAAAGGGACATTCCAACGTAAAATTAATTTAGGGTCAAACCCACCGTAACACCGAGTTAGACCCCCCCTCCAGAGATGAATGTTGTCGACCGCTTGCTTCTCTAGTTATACCAACTTTAGTGCGTATATGCATGCGTATATAAAGTCTGGACTGTTTCATGAGAGTTTCCTGTCTCTGAGTTTATCATAAAAACACCTGAAAAAAAAAGAGTTCGTAGGAGTCTTACTGAGATGAACTTTATACTGAATTAATCAGCTGATTTTTTTTCTGCACGGTGACGTAAAGCGAAGGACTCCTGCCGAGCAGACGAGGTGTGCAGGAGCTGTTGGTGACATTTAAGAAGCGTTGCATCGTGATTTCATGTTTTAAACATCATTTTAATGAGCTTCTGTTTGAGCCTCTGAGCGGAGGAGAAGTCATTAAAGTGCCGAGAAACAAAAGGGAAAAACAACTGTTGTTATGGATTCAAGACCGGAGCCTGAAAATATCAGGAGGCAGAGAGCAGTCAAAGGTTTGCTTTAGAAACCCCCAAACTACAGGAAATGAAGCTACCGTGGATCAAAGAGGACCTTCAGAGTTTAAGGAGACCTGTGATGTGTATGATAGGTAATAATGTCAGTTTGATACTGAAACATGGATGTAGGTGTAATCCCCAAACAAATCAAGACAGTTAAGCCCGGAGAGTCGGTCTGTCTTTGGTTGGAGTTTGTTAAAAGGATCTAAATAATGTTCTCGAGCCGACCGTGTCTGCAACGGTTGATCGTCTAGTTTTTGTCCTGTAGTTTCTTAAACGAGGGCTAAAATGACCCTGATCCTCCTCGAGCGTCTGACCCTCCTCATGTAGATGGGGAACGGTGGAGCGTGAGGCAGGGAGAGCATCAGCAAAGACCTCGGGGGGACAGAAGCAGCGACAGTATATGTGGCGCTCCTAAAACAGACCCAGAATCGACGGGTGGAGGAGGGTTGCAAAGCTTGACTTCACAGCCTGCCTGGACTAACACTATTGTTGGACACGGAGTTTAAAGACAGCAGTCCTATTTTCACTTTTCGTGTGTTTGTTACTCTGTCGCCCGAGGAACCACAGCTGCTCTGTTTTATTCCAGAGCGAGACGTATAATTTATTCGTGCACAGAAACAATCTGTGCGCTGAACTCAGTCTGAGATTACAGTTTGGGGAATAATCACTCTGTCAGAATCCGATCATGTTCGCCTGCTTTCCTTTAAATATCAGCGAAGAGAGTAAAAACAGAGCTTTCTGCCTGTGGTCTGGCTCTGTTTGTGCGTGTGTGTGTGTGTGTGTGTGTGTGTGTGTGTGTGTGCTGTCAGTCAGTCAGTCAGTGTGTGGCCTTCAGGACCAGGGAAACATCCCTCGTATGAAACAGTAGACAGGTGTCTGGAAAAAGTTGCTGCTGAGTCTGCACTTCTACGATCCGCTCTTCCCCTTCCTTCCTCGTCTTCCTCTCTGACCCCATCTGTCAATCTCCTCTTTCTTTTTCTCAGACTCCACCAACGCCCCTCCAGTTTTCCTCGTCTCTGTCAATAAACCCCAAAGTCTGTGACTGTGTCTTTCACTCTTCAAGTCTTTCTCTGATTTTGGCTGAGTTTCAACAAAATTCACAAACAAACTAAATAATAATCAGAGACATGCTAATGTATATCTACAGGACTAATATATCGTCAGCCTATTAAAATAATGGCCTAAGTAGATAACTTAGATACTTTTAGAGACATGTTCAGTGAGATAACAGACAGTTGAATTCCCCTTCAGAGATTCAGTTCTTTTCTTATCTTAAGTCATTTGTCATTTTTTGCCGAAAAAGAGTTTTTGGCCTAAATAATCTCTTGAGATGATTTCGAGATGATTAGGGCCAAAAACAAGTTTTACAGAAGCCTATAGCTAGCTTGTTTTGTACAATATTTGTCTGTGTTCAATTCATTTTGAAAGATTTATAATTTTATTTTTATATTTTTTTGATATCCAAATAAAGCAACCTTTGTTGTTAATTCACTTGTCCATGATATCCATCTCTGTGTGTGCACATGCATGTGTTTTGTTTGGGGGTTGCGCTGGGAGTGTTTTGTGGGTCCACCAAAATCAACCAGCCGGCCCTGCATTCTCTTAAATCATAATTTTACTTCTACTTTATTCTCGTAAGTAATGATTTTAGTACAACTTTATTCTCGTTAGTAATGACTTACTCTCGTAGATTAATGGCTTTAATCTCAAAGTCTTAATTTTTTTTGTCTTAATACTAATACCCTAATACGCTAATACTCCGTTGTAGTAAATGTCTTATTTTGAAAATCCCGGCGGAAGTCATCGCTGTCGTTAATGGCGCTCACTTTAAGGTCCGGTCTGTGTTATCTCTGCTGGGGTAAGTCCGTCCCTGTTCGCGCCACTTACATTTTCATCAGTATGTGTGTTTAATAGAGCGTAAAAAGTGTAAAAACCATGACAGTTCATCATATATAGTTCTTATACAAATAAACGTTTATAGTGGCTTTAATTAATAATAACGAACTAAAATCGGCGCTACTAGCTTAACCGTCGTTAGCCGCTAACTAGCCTTGTTGTATTCTCCGCGGTTTGTGTTTGACTTCTGTTGTAGTTTATGTTGGAGCGAATTTCAGACCAACCTCTGAATAAACTGAGCAGCTGTGGTTGTTTTTAATCCCAGGTTAAAGGTATGTAATATTTAAATGTTCAAAGTACCACAATACGATCCTTTATTTTATTTTAACAGTCAGTGTTATCTCTGCTGGAGGGAATTTCAGACCAACCTCTGAGGAAACTGAGCAGCTGTGGTTGTTTTTAATCCCAGGTTACAGAGGCGAAATTATAAACTAAATCAGTTCTACATCCATCTTGTCTCCCGGAGGTCTGTCCCTTCAGCGAATTATTATTATTTTTTATTTATTTTTTTTTTTTTGTTGGATGGTAGGGGAAGGTCCCTCCCTCCTTCGTCTCTGATTGATTGGTTATTCCTTATGGTTGTGAAACATCATCGTCTGTCAGGCTAGGGTAAGGAGATTCAGAAGTGTGATAATATTCTGTAATATTCTGTTCAATGTACAGAGCCGACAGCCCGCGTTTGGCTTGAGCGTTTGATGGCGTTTCCAGCTTTTCTGGCCAATCAGGGGCGAAGGAGGCAGGACTTTCCCCTACCATCCTCCAAAAAAAAAAATACAATACGGTCACACTTGTCCAGTGTTACCAACTCCTTAGTAAGGAAAGAAGCTAATGAATGACGTCATTGCCTAATTTGCATAATTGGCCAACTTGTAATGGAGAGAAACAACGTCGGGGGAGAGACAAAAAGTGAGTGCACCTGTCAGTCTGAGGTGTGGAGGAGCAGCATGATAGGCGGCAAAATATTAGTTCAGTCTTAATTATTGTATTTTTATGATAGCAGGGAGTCATAATCATAATTAAAATTTGATTAATTGCTCAGCTGTAATTAGGAGTAATATTTGAAGCTCAGGGTGATGTACCCCTCTCTCTCTCAGTCTCTCTCTCTCTCTCTCTCTCTCTCTCTCTCCTGTGGTTTGAGTGTAACTGTAGATCGGTCGAGCGGATGAGGGATTTCCTTCAAACTGTCGAGGAGCCAATCACATGAGCCGGATGACAGACCCTCCCTGAAGGGACCAATCATCAATCAGACACCATGACACCTGACCGGTGACCCGCCATCTGTCAGCGAGAGAGAGAGAGAGAGAGAGTCAGAGAGAACCAGAAGGTACTTTTTAAAATGTCGGGGAAAGTTCTGGAGAAAAGTCTCGACACTGAAGGAGGACGAGGAGGAGCTGGATGAAACATGTCCTCCTCCATTAGCTGCTGATGGATCGCCGTCAGGAGAGGCGGAGGCCCCTGGAGGTCAGAGGTCATTGATGTTTACCTGAAATCCTCTCTTTACTCCTCAGCTCCTCCTCTGGTGCCTCTTTTACTTCTTCTTTGACGTCACTGCGGTCCTTCACTCGCTCTCCTTTCCTCTTTTAATCTGAAGTCAAAGCGGTTCATAAACACATCAACCTCTTCCCTAAAGAAAATATCAGACACTTTGTAGTAAGTGAAATCCATATCTGAGGGTCAGCAGCTTCTTTTCATGAAAGCTCTTTCTCCTCTGGTGAATCTAAAAATCTGTTTTATCAAGTTTCTGTAAGCGTTCTGACGTAAGAAAGCGTTTGAAAAAATGTCTGATAAACAAGTGACTGTTGGTAAACTACAGGGTTATTTCATACTTTATCAAACGCCATCATCAAACGGAGATGAAAAACAGGAAATGTTTGAGGTTCTGATCCATACATTTAAAAGTTTGTCCGAAAACTCTGATGAAATGAAGCTTTTAAGGTTGACGATTGTTGACAGCGAGGCCGGAGCAGGGTTCAAGTTCGATAGCTGGGCGCTGTTGAACGGTCTCCATGGAAACTGTTTAAACAGGACCTGTGAGTAATGGTTGTCAGCAAGGCTACAAACGATGAATAAAAACTCACAAAATCCTGAAAAAGTCCAAAACGCTTTTATTTTCCTCGATAAAAACGGACTAAATCTGTGGTGGACGGGACGAGGGACACTCAGCGGGACGGAAAAGTGTCTGCGTTTGTGAGGTGAACATCAGAAGCTGCCAGGAGTTCAGGTGAAGTTCATCAGTGACTTTATGTAGGACAGCTTACAGGGGAGAAGCTCGCTCGCTCTCTGTACGGCGTGTTCATCTGCAGCACGGACCGTTTCCTCCGTCAACATTCACACATAACCTGAGATCAACGCTCACAGATCAACAGTAATGTACAGAGCGCTCAGACACGCTGCGGCGGCGGGGGGAGGAGAGGGTGAAGCGGTTCAAAGAGAGGAGATAATGCTGCGTTGGAGTCCGTGGGGAATAACCGTCAGAAGAGCTCCGTCGGTTAAAAGCGCCGAGCGTTTATGTTTGAACTCGTTTGAAGCTGCAGACTGGAGGTTTCTCCTCGTGTCAGAAACACTCGCAGCTGAACCCGCTTTAACCTGCGCCTCACTCCGACGGTGGTTTCCTCGCTGTAGATGCACCTGTGCTGGAGCTGCAGTGCATGCTGGGTCCTGATCTGACTCTGAGGGTGTAAAGAGAGGTAAGTTTCCCTCACCCGATGGTTAAAATCTCAAAACGTGCTCAGGATCATAAATGTCATTAAATCTGAGAAAAACGAACTTTCCAATCAAAACTCACGTCTCTCTCTCTTCACAGGAAACTTGAGAGGGAAGAAGAAAGGAGGAAAGAGAGGAGAAAGGAGGGAGGAGGAAAGAGGAGGGAAGAAAGAAAGTGAGGAAAGAGAGGAGAAAGGAGGGAGGAAGAAAGAGGAGGGAAGAAAGAAAGAGGAGGAAAGAGAAGAGGAAAGAAAGAAAGGAGAGGAGGAAAGAAAGGAGAAAGGAGGGAGGAGGAAAGAGGAGGAAAGAAAGAAAGTGAGGAAAGAGAGGAGAAAGGAGGGAGGAGGAAAGAGGAGGGAAGAAAGAAAGTGAGGAGGAAAGAGAAGTGGAAAGAAAGAAAGGAGAGGAGGAAAGAAAGGAAGAAAAAAAGGAAAGGAGGAAATAAAAGAGGGAAGAGTGGAGGACAGAAAGAAGGAAAGAGGAGGAAAGAAAGGAAGAGAGAAGGAAAGAAAGAAAGGAGGAAAGAGGAGAGAGAGGAGGAAAGAGGAGAAAGGAAAGGATAAAAGAAAAGAGGAAAGAAGGAAAGGAAGAAGGAAAGAGGAAAGAAAGGAGGAAAGAGGAGGAAAGGAAGAAGGAAAGAGGAAAGAATGGAGGAAAGAGGAAGAAAGAAAGAAGAAAAAAGGAACGAAAAAAGGAAAGGAACGAAAGGAGGAAAGAAAGAAGAAAAGGAAAGAGGAGGAGAAAGAGGGGAAAGGAATGGACAAAAGAAAGGAGGAAAGAAAGAAGGAAAGCAAGGAGGAAAGAGGAGGAAAAAAAGGAAGAAAGAAAGAAAACAAAGAGGAGAGAAAGAAGGAAAGAAAGGAGGAAAGAGGAGGAAAGAAAGAAAGGAAAGAAGAAACCAAAGGAACGAAATAAGGAAAGAAAGAAGAAAAGGAAAGAGAGGAGTAAAGAAATGAGATAATAAAAAAAGAAAGAAAAGAAGAAAGAAAGAAGGGAAGAGAGAAGAATGAAACAAGGATAGAAGGTGAGAAAGTGACCCAAGAGAAGAGGAGCGAAAGGGAGGATTCAAGGAGCGAGTGCTGGGAGGAAAGGTTTGGTTCAAGGACAGAGAGGAGATGGAGAGAGAGAGAGAGGGGAGGTGAAGACAGAGGGAAGATGGTTGAAAAACAGAGGGTGTGAAAGAGGGAGGTGAAGAAGAACGCCATCATGACTCCTGTGCGTATGCCGCCACAAATAGGTTTCTGAGAAATGCCGAACAAGCTAACAGTCAAAGGTGAAGACGTAAACACAGGCAGCTGCTGCGAACGAGTGCGACGGAAAATTCAGTCAGGATGTTTGAGTCTGAGTCTGAACAAACCTCTAAAAGTCTTAAACGGCACAGACACAAACTTCACCTGAACTTAACCTCTGACCTCCCATCCTAAATCTGAAGCAAACAGGTGAAATCATCTTTAGAGACCCCACAGTTGGACATTTAACATGAGGCTCTATGAGGACTGACTCACTTTTGGTGACAGCCTCTAGTGGACACTAGAGGAACTGCAGCTTTTGGCTTTCCTCTGCCAGCATTTTAATACCTGTAAACAACAGAAACACACCTGTGGTGTTTAATTTTATGAAGTTGTTTGGTTGAAGAGAAAGTTTCAGATGTTTTCGGCGTCTTCGCAGCAGGTTTTGTGAAGAATCTATAAGTTTGTGGTGAATTAAGGCGACTTTGTGTCCTGAGCCGACTCTCCACAGCAGTAATCCTCAGTTCAGATATACAGGCCGCCTCAGGGGGATGCTGGTTATCCAGGGAGGAGAAGAGAGAGAGCGAGAGAAGGTTGTTTTCCTCTGAGTTTCTAACATGAGCATCAGGGTCGCTCGCCCACTGAACCAATCAGATTGATGCATTTCTAGGTTGAGTTCCTTCAAAGTTTAATAAGGGCAGAAGATGAAACTCACAGCGGAAAAAAAAAACAGGATGGAAGAACTGGATTCACCTGAACCGGCCCCGCTACATCAAACCGGGCGCTGAGGGGAGGAGGAGGAGGAGATAAAAGACAAGAGGAAGTCATTGATTTGTTGATGAAGAGGAGAAGAAAGGATGGGAGAGAGAGTAATGAGAGAAGAAAGAGGGGAGAGGTTTCACTGCAGGGGAGAGAGATGATAAGTTCACGTGTGTTATATCACATCACTGATAAATCATAAACGTTCTTTCATATGTTAAAACAGCATGTGACTCGACGTTAACTCGAATTTAAGACATCAAAGATCGGTTTGGTAATAAAGAAAAATTAAATCTAAGGGAGGAAAGGTTCAAGCTCTGAGAAAGGTTCTAATTTAGTTTGACTAAAAGTAGTCAAGGGTTAGAAAAATAAAAAATAAAGAAAAGGAAAAAAATAAGTGAGTTTATGGTCTGACTGAAACCTCTTAGTCTGTGCAAGTATGGAGATATGAGAGGGGCCGCATCCAGTTTAGGGGGCTCTCACCTCTGCAGGGGCAGCTTGAAGTATGTGTGCACACATCCACAAATTAAAAGCCTTTCTTTATTATTTCTATTTTTTCTCCTCACCCTTATTAACTGCACAAATTACAAACATGAGATAATTCTGTAAAAGTCTAACCCTCGAATATCGGCTGGGTCTGAATTTGCTGCTACTGCAGGTACCAGGCCTTTATATGGAGCAGGCTTACATTAGAGGGAGGCCTTTATTTTCACTTAACCAACTGTGTGAAAATAAAGTAAAAAATATATCATTCGCAAAGCAAACAGAATTAAATGCTGATGATCCATTATGTCTTTATTAGAGGAAAAAACACACCTCTGTCCGTGCAAACAGACAAAAACCTGAACCTGAATCACCGTGCTGACAGCCTGGTCTCCCACTCTGTTATAAAAAAATGTTGATAGAGATCAAAAGTGCGTGTTTTGTTTGAGGTTGTAGACTCGTCTGTTCCTGCATTTAATGGTCACTTATGGAACTGCAGTATTTCATACTCTTCTGCACTGAATCCACTTTTTTTAACATCACAGGTTGCGGCTTGGTTGCATCACGACCCGAGTGGTTTGAAGGAGCCAATCATTGCGCAGGACTTGGGGGGGTTGGACCAGAAGTGCAAGTGCTATATCAAAAACCAACGTCAGACCTTTGGACACGGACGGTGAACTGATGGGATCAGAAACAGGATTGTGGTCAGAGCTGATGGACAGATCCTGGTGAGAACGACAGAGTCCAGTTGATGATGGAGTTAAACAACAGATTCAAACTTGGACTCCCACTCAAGAAAAAACACTTTTGTTTACCCTGTGAGGAAATTTCAGATCATTGTGTTGGAGACGTAAAGGCAGCAGAACTTTCTACTTGACCAATGTCGACTCATCTCCGTCCATCACATCCTGCTTTCTTCTTTGTTTCCTGATCAGCCCTGATCCTCATCTCTGTATCGGACAGGTTTTCGGCGACCTCGCTGAGGACACGCTGCCTGTGTGTTCGCAGAGACCCTCCCTCCGCCCACCAGAGCTCCTCTGCAATCAACCCGACATTTACATTCAGATGACTGCGCCGTGGCGTGATGCTGGAATGTAAATTCACCCAGAGATCAGCCGGGGACTTGTGCCGATGAAAGCAGGAGGAGGAGGGCGGTAGACCGGCCCCACACCTGTCCTCACATGACATCAACCCGCCCGTCTGAAACCTTAATCACCAGGATTTTATCAACCGAGGGTTCACAGAGTGGATATCACCTCAGTGTCAAAGTTTGCCCATGAATATTTAAACCGTCATGCATATCTGCAGCTTCATTATCAAGAGCTGCACACATGTGGTTCAGGAACAAACTGAGGACTGCTCTTTCCTGAGCCAGAAATCCAGATTTTTAAAAGACATTAAATCTGTTCACGGTCCCCTGAGGATCCACCACCTGTCTACAACGACCGCCAGTTCCTACCAGATCTGTTTGTGAGGCCAATTTCGTGGCAGATTACGGACATCGGGAATCGCAAGAACTCACAAGAACCTGCGGATTCACGTACAATCGCGCGATAACGAGTTGTCACATAGACATATACGCAGTAGATTGTGTCCTTCCAGAGGAGGAAATCTACTTCTAGACTTCTAGAATCAGCATCTCCTCATCCATGGTGTCATCGGGGTGAAATGACGTCTAAAAACCTTTCACTTGTTCGTCTCCGCCCGTTTGCATGGTGTGAAATACGATCCTCCTGAAACACGGAGTGTTTTATTTTGAAAAGAAGCCGGATGTTTTATTTTGTGTCTGTGCCCGACTTCCTTTCCAGCACGGGTTAATCTGTGCTGAATTTATCCGCCATGCTCCGGCGTCCAGAAAAAATAGAACTCTTGTGATCAGCTGAGGAGTCCGGCGATCCGCAGAGGAACGGAAAGAAGTCGGTGTAAATTGACACGTTAACTTGAATGGTTACGATCAGCTACGATCGGAGGATACGACCTTTTAGGAGACGATCAGGATGAAGGTGGAAACTGGGGGTTAAGCACTTCTGCATTGGCTTCATTTCTCAGTCGCTGCTTGTTATAAAACAATAACTCATGAAAATTTTGATTCCTAGGATTACTAATTGGTGCATATCATACGTAACAGATATAACATGAGGAAAAACTGAAGCAGTTTTGGAGAACACAGTGAGATCCTCCTGGATCAGCTCTGGTCTCTACAGGTGCATTGACCAGAGAAACAGACCTGTGGTCATCTCAGGTCCTCTGCTCCACATGGACAAAATAAAAAACCTCATTGAGATTCAGAGGAGAAAGTCACCTCTGACAGTCTGACCCACCGTGGGGGGAACTTTGACGCAGATCCCAGTTTTGTTTCCCTCCTCCTCACAGACGGAGTAATGACTCACTCCATCAGCTCGCTCTGTCAGAAGAGGCTCCATGGAGCTTCTGGTTGGTTGACTTTACAGGGTTCAGAACAGGGATCAAAGTGTAATCTTCTACCCAGAGACCTTTGTGAGGCCTCTCTCCCTCAGAAGAACAACTTTCCATGATACTGATACCAAACCAGCACGCTACAGACCAAAACCTGCAGACATCCTCGATTTAATGATGTTGAGTTCGTCAGTCATGAATCAGAAAAAGATGCAAACAGAAAGTTTTCTGTCCTTCCAGAGGATCTGTGTTTAGACTAATGGGAGAGTTATCGAAGAATTATTTCATTTCTTTTATTTTCTTTTATTTCTTTTGGGGCATTTAACCAAAATTTTTCTTTAAAATATCCCTGTAATTTCTGGCAGCTGTCCATGGATGTAGATCAGTTATGGATTGACACACAGCTTATTTGTGTTTATTTGTTAAGTTGTGTGTGTGTGTGTGTGTGTGTGTGTTGACACTGCAGAAAACGGTACAATGCTGTTATTTTCAAAGCTGATCATGTCTCTTTATATCCACAGGGTCTGGAGGTTCACTCCACTGTCATGGGAGCTGCAATCTGAACCTATTGGCTCCAGTTTGGTCCAGTTTCTTTTCTCAATAATAGATGGTAGCAGACGTGCATGTTTGAAAAGAGGCTGTAGAAACACACAAGAACTGAGGAACCACTGGGAGTAAACAGAGACTTTATTTGTTTGAAGAAAACTCAACAATGAACCAAAACGGTTGGTCCAAATATTTAAAGTGAGTAATGTGTGTTTGAGACTGAGGAGGCTTAGACACCACGTGTGTTTGTTTTCTTAATTGAAGTGAGTCTGAAACAGCTGGATTAAAGGTTGGCTCCAGTATAAACAGGTTTGTTCTTCAGGAAAATAAAACACTGTCCACGTCTCCTCCATGGTGTCAGTAATTCCTCTGTTGTGTTTGTTTCTCTCAGCGATCGCAGCAGCTCATCTCCTCTCTGAGCCTTTAATCTCACTCCGGTTCCTCTGTCGGCTTCGTTTACTTTCTTTTGCAGCGCTGACACCTGTGCCGAGGCGTACCTGTGTGACCTGACCAGATGTGACCCCGCCCGCCTGCACTCCTTCATTAAAACCACTGAACCACTTCAACAAGTCCACATCAGCTCCAGAGGCGGCTGCAGCCTCCGCAGGGTCCTACCAGGACACACATACATGCACACAGACACACACTCGGGGTGAACGTTTGAAGCGGCTGAAGGTGTTTAATGTAATTTCTCATTCAGTGCTATATCCCTGAGAGGGCCTGCTTTGCTATGCATGAGGAACATTTACATTTAACACGACCTACATGCAGCAAAGACGAGAGAGCAAAGGAGGAGAAGCTGAATGTAAAAGGAAGATGAGCTCAGCGCTCAAAGACCCAGAAAAAAGAGGCTTTAAGTGACTGGCTGTAGGCTGAATTTAAATATGTAAGTAGGATTTTTTTTCTATACTGCAGCACTTACAGGACGACACATGAGTTCACACCATGCACTGAGATGAACTTCAGCCATGAGGGTCCAGCGGCAGCCCTTGTTGTCTTCTCTGATGTGAGATAGGAAGCACAAATATTTCCTCAGATTTAGGTGGATTAGGGTTTTTAATTCTTCAAAGACCCCCAGCCCCTCAACAAATTCCAACATCGGACCAAACATAATGCCGCCAAGAACTTTCAGGCTTGCAGGAAAAACTCAGTGATGACCAGGAAGTTGGTTATCGTCCCTTTGGACACATGCCAGTCAATAAATCTGTCCCATTCACGCCTCAAAGTCTGATGCTGCCCACCTGTGGTCACCTGACAACTGTTGTGTTCCTGGATGAAGGGCGGTCGGTTTAGTCTCCAGGTTCACAGCAGAGAGTCCTCTTGGATGTTGAGAGGTTCACCATGTGACAGGAAAAGAGCGAACTCTGATGCCAGCGATTTATCATCCTGAACGGACCTCTAAGAGGAACACCTGATGGTCATCAAGACCTCAACATGAGCAGATGGAGTCTGAACGACACCTGGTACTCTACTTGGACACCTGTTGTAGTTTCACTTTTAGTTTAGATGTTTTCAATCTCTGTTTGGACACGTCAGCGTCATCGTGACGTATGGATGATGTGGAGATGTTTCTATCCCGACCTGGAGACCTGGGAGTTATCTTCTACTCCGAGAAAAACCTTTGAGCTGTTTCACTCAGTAACCAGACACCTTTTTTAAATCTCTTTATGGACACGTGGGAGATGTTCCAGTCTCTACCTGGACACCTTAGAGGTTTCTTATCGGCCCTCGATGGTTCAGTCCTTCTTCTGGTTCCTGTGAGCGGTTTTCAGCTCTTGGAAGACGTTCAGGTGTTCTTGAACCCCCGTGAGTCTATCTGCTGCACGCTGATGCTGTTATATAAGACTATAAGACTTCCACTGACTGTGATATATAGATATATTTTGGATATATTGCATGATGAAAAAAGGGTAAATAAAGGAAAAATCATCCCGGGTTGATGGGGGTCATAAGGTCATCGCTGTGTTTAGGTGTGTCTCTGTATGTCAGGTTACTGGAGCTGAAATAATCATTAATCTCTCCTCTCTGTGTTTCACTGAAGGAGTTCAGCCTGAGGAGGAGGAGGAGGAGGACGCACACATCTTCCTACTTGTAAGTCCACGGGCACTCTGCTGTAAACCCTCCACAGGTCCACCAGAAGCTCTCAGACAGACCCCCTCCACTCTGCCTGATCTGGAAATGAGGTATGTACACGTACAGTCAAACCACAGGACCACGATGTCCCGCTCGTTTTAACTACATAATGCATCAGGCTTTTTATGGTGAGGTAGGGAACATGTTTAAATGAAGCTGTATGGAGCAGAGGGGTTCGGAGCTACAATATTCATCAGTGTAAAAGCTGCAGGACCACTTCAGAGGAGTTTTTGGAGGGGACACACTGGATCACAGACATGACCTCTTTTAATCCTATGTCATCTAAGATCACAACAACACAGAACTTTTTAATCTTCTCTCTAAACAAAAAACGGATGAAACAGTTTGTCACAACATATTTTTGTTCATATCAGCTGATATTGATCAATATCAGGATATAAAAATCTAACAGTGTTTATTGGTCTCATGTCTTTTCAATAATCTCCTGCATCTGTGAGGTCTTTGTGTCTCTTTGGCGTTTTGTCGTAAGGCGTCACTCTAGAGAAAGACGACTGAATGGTCGTCTGTTTCAGGCGCCATGGGCTCCTCGCTCCTCTCGGGGTTCGTAACCTTTGGCGTTGCGCGTGCTCTGCGGCGTGGCGCTGCTTCAGGTGGTGAAAAAGATTTGAGGTATTCCCCGACTTTGTGAGAACATGTACTCGACATAATTTACAGTCCACATTACTCTGCTTCATGTCCGACCTCCAAAAACCAAAATACCTCCACACCACCGACGTTTTCCTAACGCCAGTGTTGTGGTTGACATTGATGTGGTCATCTGTTGAGCCTTCATGGTCATTTCTGTCGGGGGTAGCACTCATTTTCTTTGTTTCTCACCAACAGTGCTGTCGGCTTCACCTGTTAAAGTGCTATGGTTGGGTGGAGCTGCTGTCTGCTACCACGCTGCAGTTGGTTGATACTTGGTTCTAATTCAGAACATGATTGGTTCAGACCCGGAGAAACTCCCCTTTTCATTGGCTGTTCGTATAGTCTACCAAAACATGGCCGAATGATGACTATCGAAAAGCATATTGACCATGTTTTATATTGATATTGAAGGAAATTAATTTGTGATATATATTGTTATTGTTTTTTTAATCGCCCTAACCCTAGTTGGCGTGTATTTCCAGGGTTATGTAGTCCGTCATTGTCAGACGATGATAAACAGCGGTTAGATACGGATTCAGAGATGACTCAGCGAGTTTGTTCAGATCTATGATCTTTTCAGTATGACCATAACCTGGATGTAAGTCAAAGAAATGACTGTTTGTGTGGATGAATTCCTGCTTATCTGATGTGGAGAAAGTCTATTTGTTTTTCTGTATGTTGTGACATTAAGTAGGCGCTGCCATAAAGACCCTCTTATCTAACTTTTGGCTGGTGTTCGAGAGTTTTCTGAGACCCTTATATTCAGAAGAAGAGCTCACCAACATGGAAATATTTCATTAAAATCTGGTCCTAAAGGGTTCGAGTGTTCTAGTTAAAAGCAGCCGTGTGTGAGCTCTGTGGTTTTCTCTGAGCTGCTGCTTTCCGACCGAGACGTCATGAAGACACAGAAACTTTGAGCTCCTCCACTGAGCGTGAAATGGAGACCGACTTTGTGGACTCATAAAATGTTTGAGGTTTTAAATCCAATTCAGCCGTTTCCTGTCTGGGCAGTGCCTGCAGATATGAAGCAGAAAATGTGCTCATATCTTTGGAAATCCCTGCTGCGCTTCACGTCCATAGATCCTCCCGCTGCTTCATTCAGCCGCTCACTCGTCTTTAACCTTCGTTTATCCACAGAGCCGACACATGGCGCTCAGAGCTGAGCAGGAATCCCAGAGGGTTTATTTTTAGGATGCAGAGCCAACACGAAGGCCAAGACTGGTGTGACTGAGTCAGGCAGAGATTAATGTCAACTCAGCCAGCAGACCTTTAAAACCAAGCCAAACCTGGTAGCTCCCCCTTGGACCAGATCCAGGGGATGACTGTGTGGTCTGTGCCAGCACTCAGCTAAGACCTGATCAGGAAATCCTCAAGTTTTTCTCTCGGAAAATTCAGGAACAGACAACATCTGATGATATCAGTGCGCTCAGACATGGGGACGCCTCGTACGGCCCTTTGCTCTCTTATTTCTGCTGATTTCATCTTCGTACTCGTTCCTGTGGTAAAACCTCCTCCGATGACCTTATCATCTTCCTCTCTTTAAATGTCGTGATTAGAGCGAATTATTCAGCCCCTCTGAGCTGCTATTGTTGTGCTTTTAATATGAGTCTCTGCTCTGATGATGAGCAGCTTTTTGTTACCTGCAGAGATTCCCACGGTGTCTGAATGAATACCTAAACTCTCCCTGATGATGATGAGGATGATGATGTGTGTGTGAGTGTGGTTTTGGAAACGGCCTGATTGCGTAGGCTCTGATTTTGGATCGTTGATTAGCTTCATTAGATTTCCGATCACGCGCCCCCCCTCTGTGTTGTGGTCTCGTCTAAGCTCCCGTTAAACCATCCAGCTGTATGAAACAGAATAAAAATCGGCTTCCATCCTCATCGGGTTTTCAGAAATATCACATTTGTTTTAATACCACCACTGCTGCCTCCGAAGATGAATGAGTTAACTCAAAGAAAACAGCCAGCTCAGCAAGTTTCTGCTCAACTGTATCAGCAGCCTCGACTGTGCGTCTTTACTAAGTCGAAGGTTTTAGTTTTGGGGAAGTTCTGGTTCTTATTGGAAAGTTTTAGTGGTCAAAACTTGGGTTTAAGGTCTGGATGCAAGAGGGATTTTTGAAGGACTTGGTGTGATCCACATTACCTGCAAAAATGGTGAAGGTGAGTTAAACTGTGTGGTCGGGCTTCATCTTTGAAAATGTAAGTTGGTAGGTGGCGCTGTTGAGCCATTTCTGATTGTTTTTTTAAAACCAATGAAAATGTCAAATTGTTTGTCAGGATGTGTGTGTGGGAAGGAAGGAAGGAAGGAAGGAAAAAACAAACAAATAGAGGAGGGAAGGAAGGTAGGAAGGAAGAAAGAAAGTAACAAACAAACAGAGGAAGGAAGGAGGGAAGGAAGGAAGGAACAAACAAACAGGAAGGAAGGAACAATGGAAGGAACAAATAAAAAAAGGAAGGAACAAAGGTAGGAAGGAAGAAAGGAGGAAAAGAACAAAGAAACAAACAAAAAGAGGAGGGAAGGAAGGTAGGAAAGAAAGGTACAAACAGAGGAAGGAAGGAAGGAACAATGGAAGTAAACAATCAGGGGAAGGAACAAAGGTAGGAAGGAAGAAAAGAAGAAAGGAACAAACAAACAGAGAAAAGACGAAAGGAAGGAACAAACAAAGGGAGGAAGGAAGGAAGGAAAAGGGAAGGAAGCAAGGAAGTAACAGACACAACCAGAGAAGGAAGAAGGGAAGGAAGGAAGGAAGTAACAAACACAACCAGTGAAGGAAGGAAGGAAGGAACAAGCAAACGGAGGAAGGAAGGAAGGATGGAACGAGGGGGGAGAGGAAAGAAAGGAAGGACTCTTGCACTCTTTGCCTCTTGGACCCTAAATACCCGATTCATCATTAATGGAAACAGGTTTTTTTTCCCACAGTGTCAACAAGCAGAAGTAAAATGTGCCGGAACTACTTTCTGCGGATGGATTTGATTTTAAGTGAGTGGTCTGCTCGTCTCTGGTGTTGGTCTTTTTAGTCAGAGTTCATAACCATGTTTGATGGAATCTAAGGGGGTTTTGACCAATCACAATCAAGATTTAGATGATGATGAGGGGCCTGTGTTGGTGCAGGTGTATCAGGTCGGAGGTTCTGGTAACGACTGAATGGGCTGTGGCGGTCTGTAGGTGGTTTAGGTGGTCGGACAAGAGGCCTGATTGGTCTACAGTTGGTTCCTGTGTCCATAGAGGAGGTCCTGTGTCTCCTGTAGTTCTGTGGACTCTGTAGGAGGTGTTAGTGCTCACCGTGGAGGTTTTTGGTGTCATGTTGGTGGTTTTTCTGAGGTCTTTTATACCTAATAGGTCGGTTTTATGAAGTCTAAAGGATTTCAGAGGTCCTTTAGGGAGAGTGAAGAACATTCATGTAAATATAATTATGACGGGATTTACTCAAAGCTCCTCTCATACATCAGCAGTCAGTTGAGTTAAAACAAGCAGAAGGCAGAGGGGTTCAAACTGGCAGTGTGTGTGTGTGTGTGTGTGTGTGTGTGTGTGTGTGTTACAGCCGGCTGATGCCACCACAGTAGCATCATTAGTGTCTCAGAGGTGGTGTAGAGGTGTGTTTTCCAGTGTAGGTGTGTGACGTTTGAGTGCATTAGTAATGAGAGTGTGTTTATGTTTGTGCATGTGTGTGTGTGTTATAGTGCAGCAGCCCACCATTATGTGCTGAATCATCCCCTGCCATTGTGTGTTTACTGTGGCAACCACTGCTGCCACACACACACACACACACACACACAGCGCGCTGGGCGTTCAGTGCTGACTAATCACTGCTGGAGATTTTACAGGTGTTGGAAAAAAACACACAAAAACACATACACACTGGGGCAGCCCTCTTACACACAAACACAACCAAACACACACACACTTCCTGGATGTGTGGTAACTCCTTATATGGTCATTATTAACATGGAAAAGTCCTTTTAAAGATGGTGTCATCCCGCCTGTCAGAGTGACTGTTGGTCTGGATTAGTGAGTGTGTGTGTGTGTGGGCGTCAGAAAATGTGTGTGTGTGTGCGAGTCACGTTTAATATCCATTCACTTATTCCCCTGGATGATCCAGAAAAAGCCGACCTTTTTTTCATTCAGAAGTTTTCTCCTGAGCTTCTTTTTTTCAGACGTCTTTAAACTCCCGACAGACGTCACTGAAAGATCCACACCTACTCTAGACTTCATTATTCTGTGACTGCGGTCCGTTCAAATGTGGGGGACATCAGAGACCCTGATTCACAAAGGCAAAAAAATAAAAACGCCAAAGATGTCACAGCGTTGACGAAAGAAAACATGGCAGCCATTGAAGTAAGCCTGTTTTATGGTTTCATGTTGAAGTTGTCGTGCGGTGAAAAGGACTGCTAAAAATACAGAGACCAAAACACTTTTTACAACCCCCACACTGAAAAAGTGAACGCACTCGGCTGATGGTGTGCAAACTATTCGAGGCCAATGTTTGATTGAAAAAGGGGCAAAGACAACATATCAAGTAAAAAATATATATTATTTTGACAGCTGTTCGAGAGGAAACAACTAAACGGGTAAAAAGTTCTGATAGAGAAACAACCAAACAGGTCAAAACCAGGACTGGACTGGATGGTCCTGATCCTCAGGTTGTTAAAAACAGACAGGACTGTGGAGAGGTAACTGCATGGAAAGGACAACTGGACTGACTTTAGACGTTTCACTTTACCTGGGATTTACAACGCATCAGGAACAGCTCCGATTTTACTTTTTTAGGTTCATACGGCTGTGCGAGTGAAGCTGCTGTCTACTGTGAAACTGAGACTCGCCACAAATGGGCAAACAGAGAACGAGAGAAAGCCTTTGTGTAACTATTTACAGCGAAACTGAGTCTAGACCAAAACAGATGATTGAAACTCGGAGTAACCCGGGATTTCAACTGCATCCGGAACGACTTCGATCCGGAACGGCGGCAGTTTTCGCGGTATGCCAATTCCTACCGGATCCGTTGGTGAGGCGAATTTCGTAGTGGATTATGGACAGCAGGGCTCTCTGTGTAGTTGTGTGTGTGTGTGTGTGTGTGTTAGTGAGTGTGTTTGCCGACTCATCAAAGCTCATATCAGATGTGTGTGAGCATTTCGTTGTGGGTAATGTGTGTTTGATCTTCTGCTGAGTCATTAAAGAAAGTGACTGCAGCCGACACCTTGTTGTGGTCGCAGAATGATGTAAGACCAGGTGTGTGTGTGTGTGTGTGTGTGTGTGTGTGTGACCTAATGACCTCATGTGTATGTTCTCAACATCTGTGTTAAACTATTCAATGTGTGATCAGAGTTCTTCAAAGGCTCCTGACTGGTAGTTCAGTCACTGCGGCTTTCCATCACACACACACACACACACACACACACACACACACACACACACAGGATGATAGAGACTCACACACACACTTTTACAAACCACAAAGGATGGAGGAAGTCAGGAAACATGCAGCCTGTATTTCAGATTGGGTTTCACATGTAAATCAGACACTCTTGGCTTTGTCTCGCCTCCTTTGAAGCTGCGAAATGAGTTTTTTCTTTCCAACAAACTTTCAGAGCTCTCCTAACTTTTTAGAAGCGCCTTCCTGTAACTGAACACACTCCGAGTATCACATGAAAGAGTCTGAAGCAGCTTCACCGCCTCTCAGCTGCTCCTCACTCACACCTGTGTTCTGCCAAAGAGCGCATCCTTTCAAAACATGCCTCCAAACAGCTCTGAGCATGTGCGGAGCGAGAGTTCTGGTCGCATCATTTGATGTAGAGTATCAGCCTGTTGGCTCGTTTACCGCTATTTAGAGGCGGGACTTTCAGCGCCTTCATCTGCAGTATGGAGGACATAGAGGTATAATGGTGGGTACCCCTGATCCGCCCTCAGAGGCTGGAACAGAGGGGTGATGGTGATGGAGCCAGCAGGGCTGAACAGCACAGTGTGTGTGTTTGTGCGTGTGTGTGTGTGAGTAACCTTTGTTTGATTTCTGGCAGAAAAAGTCAGATTTTTATAAACCTGAGTCGTTTGTAATGAGCAGAAAAAAAATCAATTAATATGGTTAAAAAAAAAATTATTTTACTTTTAGGGAACATCACTTTTATTACAAGAAACTTTTGTTCGGACATGATGGACAGTTTTATCAGACATCACAATAGATTCAGGTCTTAATTTAGGCGGTTGTATCCCAAAACAAGATAGAGACTAAAACAAAAGTCAGTTTTCAGTTTCTGTTGTGTAAATTTTCTCTCCTGTGTGTTCACGAGCCGTGATGTGAAAAGACACCATTTTAAAACCAGAACTAAACAGTTTAAAAACAAGAAAGCAAGAACAACAGCCGTTCATGACTTACTTTAATCCATCTGGGTCGGTGTTACAGACATTACAGCCTGTTTACCTGGTGAAAAAAAACAGTGAAATATCCCTTTAAAATGAAAAACCACAAACCTGTTCCATCCACCTTTAGTATCACTTATTTTTTCAAAAGTTGTTCATTATTTGTTTAACTATTATTCTCCAGTTTGTCCCAATATAACCCCAACACCCACACACACCCACACGCACACACCCACACACACACACACACACACACACAGACTCAGAGTAACGGCTCAGTGTCAGTAAAAGTGTGATCCATCGTGTAGCCGCTGTATCGTGTTTGATCTGCACAGAGTCATCAAAGAAACAGGATTAAAGCTCCACTTTGTTGTGGTCAGAGGGAGGTCTGACACACACACACACACACACACACACACACACATTTAGAGACAGATGTTTCTGTTCACCTGTCTTCTCATCGACAAGAAAGCCTTGGTCATCCTCCCATTTTCCACACTTTGTTTCTTTTGCACTGACAGGAAAACCTCAAAAATGCAGATGAAGATAACAAAAAAGAAAAAGTACAAAGAGCACAGTATGCCAGATATAGAGTTTATTACAATAAAGTTTACTAGAGTAAGAGTTAGAGTAAAGCTTACTAGGGTAAGGGTAAAGTTGACAAGAATTAGAGTCAAGTTTACCAGGGTAAAGTTTACTAGATTATGAGTAAAGTTTACTTAAGTTAGAGAAAAGTCTACTAGAGTTAGAGTAAAGTTTACCAGAGTTAGTCAAATTTACTTCAGTTAGAGTAAAGTCTACTTGTGGACATTTTACAAGAGTAAATTTACTGGAGCAAGAGTAAAGTTTACTAGAGTTCAAGAAAAGTTTATTAAAGTTAGAGTAAAGTTTACTCTAGTAAAGTTAACTAGAGTTAAAGAAAAGTTTATTAAAGTTAGAGTAAAGTTCACTCTAGTAAAGTTTACAAGAGTAAATTTGAGGTTTACTCGAGTAAAGTTTACAAGAATAAAGTTTACTAGAGTATGAGTAAAGTTATTTATAGGTACAGTCAAGTTTACTAGAGTATCAGTAAAGTTTCCTAGAACTTCAGAAAAGTTTTTCAAAGTAAAGTTTGAGAGAATAATGTTTTGCCAGATCAGGAGTAAAGAATGCCAGCACACAGTTTTGGTTTTCTAAAGCCTGAACAAAAATTGCTTAAACACAAGTTAATTATGATAAAAGAAGACTAAAGTATCCTCATATAAGAGGTTGTTGTATTTAAGATACATTAGAGTAATGAAAATATGCTGGATAGAGTGTAAATTACACTGGAACAAGAACAAAGGGAACAAATGTGTTAAATTAAGGTAAAATATGTAATAAGAGGAAAGTTTGTATGAATGTCAGTGAAGTATGCTGGAACAGTATGCTTGAAAGAGAGATGTGTGAATTCAAAGTATGCAAGACCAAAAAGAAAGTTGTCAAGAGTAAAAGTCTGAACAAATCAAAGTATTTCTGAACAGTATTCAGAAAAGTATTTCTGCAGGTGTTTAGGACCACAATAAGAGAGCTGCATCCTGTCGGCACACAGCTCAACAAAAATCAGATATAATCAGTTATTGTTATAAATGCGTCGAGGTGGAGCTCTAAACACTTTGTATTTATCCTCTTAATGCTCTGTTACAGATGAACTTCTACCCACGTAAACAAACTGCTGAAGAAGAACAAAAAGAGTTTGTGTTACGTAAAGTCATCAGTTAGTAATCAAAAATACATCATATTACATAAACACTTCTGAAATTACGTCTGTGGGTGAATAATTCAGCGTATGCCGACATGAGTGAGGGTGTTTCAGAGGAAATAAGGAGTAAACTAAAGTGTCGGAGGAGAGTGAAAGTAAAGTAACTGTCAGTAAAAAGATTTTTTTTACCGTGAACACGGAGCAGATGTGTTTGCGCCACTTTCTGATGGATGTCTTCAGCGTAAAAATAGAATCAAAATTAAACAGGAAAACCAAACGTTGGTCAAATTTTGGACTTTCCAGTAAACATTGTTTGTGCAGAGCAGCAATTAGAGGAAACAATGGAGACTCAGGTTACGGTTAAATCCTCATTTATATAAGCCGTCTGCTCGACCTCTCACCGACCGTGAGCTGCTGACCGGATCATTTTAGTGTCGTTCAGATTCTGTACCCCGGGGTTCAGGGTAGCCATGTTGGCCGCCAGTGTAGCAGGGTTAGAATTAGGAGAAGACAGCAGGTTCGTACAGAGGGTCAGGGAAAACCTGCTCAGTACCCAACATCCCTCATACCTGTACTTTGAAGTTTGATTTGTTCTTCAAAATCAGTCATCCTGCTTCCTGTGGCGTTAAATGTGTGTGTTTGTAGTAGTCTGCGGATGAAATGTGTCTTTCTCTTTAAACACCAGTCTGAGAAACAAGCACTTTTAAAGGACTTGGTGTTGACGCGGCGTTTTCATTACTCAGGATTAGTCTGCACTCAGTCCAGCCTGTTTCACAGCTGTCAGCTAAAGTAATTTAACCTTTCTCATATTAATTAGCTCTTTCAGACCCCAAACGTGTTAAAAATGTGCTCCGAATTAAAAACAACGATATTGCCTTTAACCACCTCTGACGTCAGGCGTTCGTCTGCAGAGCCTGTGGGTTTCTGGTGAGCAGCTTTGAGGTCGGACATGTTTCTCAGATTAAAAAGTAGAGGTGTGGTCTGTGGTCACTGAAGACAAACAGCTAGATGACAACATTTCATCTAAAGTGTCTGATTTAGTTTATTGAAATGAATCCTCGCAGCCCTCGGCTCTGTCCTCGACAAGCTCCGCCTGCGTTTTATCTCAGACTGAAACTATTTAAAAAAGTATGCGGGTCCACCCAGAGGGCTGAGCTCAGATGATTAGGGGGATTAGGAGCTTAAAGCAGATGTTTGGACACACAGCACACACCTGGAGTCAGCTCGGGTCAGGTCTGTTTTAGATACCCACACATTTCTTGTCCGCTCTCTGCCGAGTGTTTACTCTCCTCTGTTGGAGAATATTCTCCACCTGTTGTAACCTTTGGTTTTCTCAGTAATGGATGATTAGACAGAAGCTCCAGGTCTGGTGTCAGTTTCTCAGAATAAGAGAGTTTAGAAATCATCAGTGTAATCACAGCCAAGGCCTCAAGGTGAAAATAACACCTTCACAAACAGAGACAATGCAGCAATAACCCTGGTAGACTCTCTGTTCTCCACCTGACATCGTCTCCTGGGTCATGGTGGGCGGAGCCTTCCTTTTTTAGGGGCGGTGTTTGAGTCTTACCCCCAATTTCCACCGTATCCAGAACGGTTACGAAAAGGTTATATCCTCCGATCGTAGCTGATCGTAACTATTCAAGTTAACGTGTCAATTTCCACCAGCTTCTTTCCGTTCCTCTGCCGATCGCCGGACTCCTCAGCTGATCACAAGAGTTCTATTTATTCCGGACACCGGAGCATGGCGGATAAATTGAAACCGTGCTGGAAAGGAAGTCGGGCACGGACACAAAATAAAACATCCGGCTTCTTTTCAAAACAAAACACTCCGTGTTTCAGGAGGATCGTATTTCACACCATGCAAACGGGCGGAGACCAACAAGCGAAAGGTTTTTAGACGTCATTTCACCCCGATGACACCATGGATGAGGAGATGCTGATTCTAGAAGTCTAGAAGTAGATTTCCTCCTCTGGAAGGACACAATCTACTGCTGATATGTCTATGTGTCTGTCTCTAGAGAGACAACTCGTTATCGCGCGATTGAACGTGAATCTGTGGGTTCTTGTGAGTTCTCGCGATTCCTGCTGTCCATAATCTGCCACGAAATTTGCGGAGGAATTGGCGTATGGGGAAAATCACTGCCGTTCTGGATCAGAGCTGTTCCAGATGCAGTTGAAATCTCGGGTTACTCCAACTTTTAATCATCTGTTTTGGTCCAGACTCAGTTTCACTGTAATTAGTTACACAGAGGGTTTCTCTCGCTCTCTGTTCGACCATTCGTGGTGAGTCTCAGTTTCACAGTAGACAGCAGCTTCGCTCTGGCAGCTTTATGAACCTAAAAATGAAAAGAATTTTACTTTTCTGGAATTTTCTTGTAATTGGGGCGTCTAAAGTTCACCATAATTACAAAATTTTGATGCAGATGTGTATAAAGTAAAAAAATGATTAAGCTGCTGCCATCTGATTGGTCAATAGGACCTGGACCACAAATGTGCTATAAACAGAGTACAACAATCTCAGACTGAAACCAGACATCAGGTTTATACAGAAGCTGAAAAACTGATTCAGGTGAACTCAGGGGAGAAGTTTTTAGAGTTGGTCAAGAGGACTCGTTTCCTTCAGAGCCATGAAGGGTTAAAGGAAATGCTGATGCTCTTACTCAGATGAGAAATCGCTCGTTAAAGTGCGCTCTCCAAAACCATCAGCGTGAGAAATATGGTCTTTTTTTTCTGCTGCAAAACAAACATGAGAAAGTCCCCGAAGTCTGATTCAAGTAAACTTTTTTAAGGAGGACAATCAGCGCTGACTAAACTTTCTGTGTCTGTCTGCTTCAAAGAGTCGGGGGCTCAGTAAGACCCGGATGTGTGTGAGCGTAACATCATCACCCTCTGAGCCAGAGATCAACTACCGAGCTTTGAACCCTCAAGTCCTGAACCTCCAACTCCTCATAGACACGACCGACACCTGGGCTTACTCTGTGTGTGTGAGACCAGTTACATAAAACACTCTGCAGAAAATACAGAGTCAACATTAACACACACACACACACACACACACACACACACACACACACACACACACACACACACACACACACACACACACACACACACAGGAGAGAGATGATTCACAAAGTGAGTAAAGCGAAAGCACTGAGACGACAGAAAGAGCGTCAGGAACGTAAAGAGATCTGAAGGGCTGCTCACCGTCTCATCTGCGGAGACGTGTGAACGAGAGGTGAGGAAAGAGGAGATGAATGATGAGAGAGCGAGGAGAGGAAATGAGGAGAGAAGAATAAAGTAGACGAGAAGGTTCTGGAGAGAAAAGAGAAAGAATGACAGGAAAGGAGACGATCAGTGACGGTGTGAAAGTGAAGGCCAGAGAAGATGAGGACAAAGAAGACAGCTGGTTTTCAGATGATTTAAACTTCATATCCAAACTCAGATGTTAAGATGGAAAACTTAATTATTTTATCCAAGTATACTCTCATTGTAAAGTGATGTAACTGAAAAACCTGTGGTCCTTCTGCTCTGTAGAGTGATTATCAACATCAGTTCAAGAAAAAGGTCAGATCTTCATTTACTGCACCACGGGACGGTTTTCCTAAAGGGTTTCTGGATCATGGTTTTATCTGATTTCCACTCCCAAGTCCTGTCTCTTTTTAAAGCCCTGAAGACCAGGACCATCAAGTCCTGGTCCTGGTCCTGGTCCCTTCAGTACAGAGATTTCTTAAGATCCTCTGAATCTCTAAATGATCTGATGTTCCGTAGACGATGGAATCCACTCAAGGAACTTTTTTCTGGAACTGTTGAACAGTTAGCACTCGCAGTCTCTCACAGAGTGATGAGCCACTCTTTGGTTGTTCCTCTCTAAGAACTTCTGACCTGTTTGGTTGTTCCTCTGATGGCATGGTGGCGCAGCAAGTAGTACCCTTGCCTCACAGCAAGAAGGTCACTGGTGCAATCCCTGGGTTGGGCAGGGCCTTTCTGTGTGAAGTCTGCATGTTCTTCCCGTGCATGCGTGGGTTTTCTCCGGGCACTCTGGCGTCCTTCCACAGACCAAAAACAGGCTCATTAGGTCAGTTGTTGACTCTAAAATTGTCCTTAGGTATGAGTGTGAGTGTGGCCCTGCTGTTGAGTGGCAACTGATTCAGGGTGTACCCCGCCTCTCGCCCAATGACAGCTGGGATAGGCTCCAGCCGACCCACGACCCCGAAAGGGATAAGTGGTATAGAGGTGAATGAATGAATGGTTGTTCATTCACATGCATTTACTCTGCTGCAATATTAACATTGATCTGAAAACGTCATTTTTTGCTGGAAGAGGAGCAGAAATATTTCGGGTCCTATCGGGACGAATGAAGGACGGAGGTATTTTCAGCCTTTGAGTTAGTGAGCTGTTAACGACCTGCTTTAGGCTGCAGACGGTTATAGAAACAGATGAAACCATGAGGAGAAGTTGAAAAAAGACAATGAAAAAGTTAGGGACAGAAATATGAAGAAGAGTGGGAAACCGAAGGAGGAGAAGGCGGAGAGAGGAGAGAAAGGTCAGTGGACAAATGAGCAGAGACAACAGAGAGGAAGAGAAAAGAGAGAGAGCAGCAGATGACAGGTGAAGATGGGCGATCGATGCCAGGCGAGATCACAGAGACAGGTGGACCGTACCTGCAGTGAGTCATCGCTCTGTGTGTGTGTGTGTGTGTGTGTGTGTGTGTGTGTGCGAAGAACAGAAGAAGAAGAAGTGATGAGGGAAACCTGTAGTGCGTCACTGCTCTACACGCCTTTGAAAGTTTTCTCTCCTGTTTGAACTCGGCCCTCTTCTCGGGGGAGGAGGTATTTCAAGGGGAAGTCAGAAAAAGTAAAGTTTGTGAATGTTTAAAGGAAATCAGAGCGACAATCACAGATACTCCTTTTTACAGATTCAGGCCACAATCTCAGGCAGAGCTGCTTTTGAGCTGAAGATGTTTTTACTCCACAACGTCTCCTTTGATAACGTCACGTCTCCCACGTCTTGTGAAACGGTGACAGTTTGGAGATGAAATCTGGAGAAGCTTTGGAGAAACAGGACAATAGCTGGATGTTGGGATCTAACCTGTGACCTTCTGCCTCTGGGCTTTTCTTTCCTTTAATCAGGGAGAGAAAGAAGTAGGTTTTGTGTTTGCACTGCGTCTGAGTTTCCCAGCTGTGAAACCACATCATTCTACTCATGGTTTCCTAACTACAGTTTGTCTTTCCCTTCTCCACCCGCCCTGTTTCTCACATAATTCCCCTTCTTCCTTGTCATGTTTGGACAGACTGCATACGGCGGTTTGGCCTAAATATACGCTGCGGTCAGAGGTTTCTCAACACTTCTCGTTCTCCACTAACAAGAGCTGTTACTGAGAACTGCGTCAGAGCCGAGGGGATAAACTCGCTCATGCACATGACTCTGATAACGATAATTACAATGATGGAGCGCCGTGACACAGGACAGGCTCGCTGCAAATATCAGTTAGTGCGTATGAACCGTCCTGCAGAGTCATGGTGAGTGTCGAGCTTTATTACTGCTCTGCACCGCCACCAAGGTGGGCGGTTAGACTGTGGCCGGACCAGAGCTTCCCCGGGAAAACCAGCAACTCTATTTGGAGTTTAAGAACTGTTCTGGTTTCAGTTCAAAATTCTTTTAAAGTCCAATATTGAACAATCAGGTGTCAGCAGCCTGACAAAAACAGCTCATATGGATAGCAAAAGCAGGCAGAACATAATCCATGATAATGACCGGACCGAAGTTCAACTTTGTTATTACAGCAAACTAAAGATCCGTTAAGTACAAATGAATCAGTTTCTTTTTCAGGTTCATAACCGTGAAGTAGGCCGGAGTGAAACCTCTGAAGGACTTTTAACAGAGAAACTGAGACTCTCCACAGACAGATGAACAGGAAACCAGATTACTACTTTTTACAGAGAAGCTGAGACAGGGGCATATTCGGTGGAATAACTCTGAATTAGTGTTGGGCGATATGGGAAAAAGTTTATCAATATATATTTTTTTCATATCAGCTGATATCGATCAATATCAGGATCTAAAAATCTAACAGTGTTTCTTGGTCTCATGTCTTTTCCAACACAATAATCTCCTGCATCTGTGAGGTCTTTGTGTCTCTTTGGCGTTTTGTCGTTTTGTCGTAAGGCGTCGCTTTAGAGAAAGCCGACTGAATGGTCGTCTGTTTCGGCTCCTCGCTCCTCTCGGGGTTTGTAACCTTTTGCGTTGCGCGTGCTCTGCGGCGTCGCGCTGCTTCAGGTGGTGAAAAAGATTTGAGGTATTCCCCGACTTTGTGAGAACATGTACTCGACATAATTTACAGTCCACATTACTCTGCTTCATGTCCGACCTCCAAAAACCAAAATACCTCCACACCACCGACGTTTTCCTAACGCCAGTGTTGTGGTTGACATTGATGTGGTCATCTGTTGAGCCTTCATGGTCATTTCTGTCGGGGGTAGCACTCATTTTCTTTGTTTCTCACCAACAGTGCTGTCGGCTTCACCTGTTAAAGTGCTATGGTTGGGTGGAGCTGCTGTCTGCTACGACGCTGCAGTTGGTTGATACTTGGTTCTAATTCAGAACATAATTGGTTCAGACCCGCAGAAACTCCCCTTTTCATTGGCTATTCTTATAGTCGACCAAAACATGTCAGAATGACGACTACTGAAAAGCATATTGACCATGTTTTATATTGATATTGAGGGAAATTAATTATCGATGTAAGAGCCATATTATGATTTTCTTAATTTTCCCCACGCTGTGACATCACTCTCAAGCCACGCCCAGGTTCAAGGGTCATGGTGGCCAGGTTACTTGAGTAGGGTGGTAATCAGTGGCAGGTGTTGCTGATTGGGAGAGACAAACAGTCTTTTGACTGTTGGAGTGTGGACTGGTGTTCGTGGAATTAACCATTTTTCTTTATTCTATTTGTTCCTGTGCTTAAGAGGAAAAGAAGATGTGAGAATAAACTACCGTTTGTTTCAATTCTGGACACATTTTTGGACATCAGTTTATTTCACACCACACGTCAGAAGTTAGTTCTTTTCTTTTACTCAGCAATCAGTAGAGGCAAGTGTTTAGGACATTGCCTCTACAATCGATGTATATCATTATCGTTTTATCGCCCAGCCCTATTGTTTAGGACTTCTGAACTGGTCTTACTCTTGCTCTGACGCCTCCTCATATCCTTTCCTGCAAACAGACGATCAGCTGTGAGGTTTGTTCTTTCTTTGAGCTGAAGTTTCGTGTCTGTGTTTAGAGTTAATGTTGAGTATCGGAGGTCTCAGTGAAGTCTAAACCTCTAACATCACCCTCATTACTTTTATTACATTATAACTTGAAACTTCTTTGACCTGGAGTTCAGAAACAGCAGTACTCTGTTTTTGGTGATTATCTGAAGAGACTTGTTTACATGTTTGACAATGTTTTGAACGTTTCAGAAACGCTGTGTCTCACTGCTAACAGCTTCAGCCTCGGGCTCTTCGACTCATCGTCACTTGGTCTTTAATAAATCATGTTGTCTAATGTCACCGCTGACACAACCTGCTTTTTAATGTGCAATGTTTTCACTCTCAGAGTACACAACAGGGTTTTTATTGTCATTAATTCATACGTGCTCCCCTCTCGTGTAAATAAATAAAAGTGTGCTGTGTTTGAGAAGTTGAAAAAAAACCACTTGTTCATCTTAGATGGGTCTGAGTGTAAATAAAATAAGTGGAATGTAAACAGAGTCGGAGCGATGGTGAATAACTTCACTTAGCATCATAAAAAAATCACACAGATCCTGTAAATTCATGAGAAGGTGACTCTCCATGACCCTGATCCCCTTTCATGTAATCCTGTTCCAGTATTTGACAGTGTTTGTTGACTTTCCGTTAGTCACTGACCGTCCTGACTCTGAGCTCACAGTTCATCTGAAAAGCTTACTCACAGCTGAAATAGATGGCGCTCTTATAAACATGGATTCTTGTGCATCAAATAGAAACAGTTTTATGACTTTTCATGGTTTCATGTCCTTAAAAAGGCACAAACTGGAGTCTCTGATAGATTTAAAAATACACTTTCTCATCTGCATTAATCATAAACTGAGAGCTGAGTGTCCTCTCCTCTAAATGAGGCTGTAGGTTCATCCACAGAGTTCCTCCTAAACGGTGAGTCAGACAGATGAACATGAAGTCTCTGAACATCCAGCTCCATCCATCCGGTATGTCTGTCTGCTGGGCCTCCATCCTGACTCCTGATTCAGATTTGATCACACCAATGCTAACTTTAGAGAACTTTTCCTCCATCCACAGAAATCCCGGTCTGTGTGCAGGCAGAATCTGCAGGTCAGGGACCAGGTTTTTTTCTGGTTTCAGTTTCCATTTGCAGACCGAGTGGAGGTCAAATCCTCCAGAAAGTTGCGATCTCAACAATTTATCGCAACTTCAACCGATCCACCTTCATTCTGTGTGTGGCAGCAGCAACGGATTGTAGTTATTCTGTCAGCTCCTCCCACTCTAAAGTGAAGCCAATATAGTCTTTAAAGAGACAACTACGTATGGACTCATATGGAGCCAACAGAGTCCTTAGACCGGCCCAAACAGCACGGACCCCCGTAAAGCCAAAGATAGATCTGTGTGAGCCAAAACTGGAGCTTCGATCTGGGGAGTGGACACCTCCACTCCCAAGGGTGATTGTTGCATAAGCCAGAGGCTCAACCACACACTGCAGAACAAACACAAGTGCACAGTAGTGGCAGCAAGGAGCCGAGAGACAACCAGAAAGTAAATAAATAAGAAGAAGAAGAGGAGGAGAGAAAAGGACTGGACCCAGGTCAGCTTCCTGCAGAGCAGCCCCTCTACCCCTGGACCAGCTGTTCACCAAACTACCACAAGTGGAGACAGTGTCAGGAAAATGAACAGGAAGACAAACCAACAGGATAAGTATAGAGCCAGTTACCTGCATGAGGATTACTGTGGGCCGTGTTGAAAACTGAAGCCAGCCTGTCCCTAAAAGACCAGGAATCCATGACAACACCAGTGACAAGAAGACCGTTTTTACTGCAGATACAAACACCTTCACTGTTTGGCCTCTAAAGCTCATTTCTTTGGTCCCACACACTGAGCAAGAACCCTTTTTTTTAACTCTTTCATTTTGATACCAGAGAGTCTAAGACCAGACTTCCAAACTGCAGACGCAGTGACTGAAGTGAAAAGGTTTCAGCTCGGCTAAACTTGGCTCTGCTGGAGGCCAGGGTTCAGAGTGAAGCATACATTTGCATAATTTGGGGAACTGTAGCTGTTTGTCCACCTTATCACCACCTTTTTGCCAGTGGACTGGTTGCACAGTGACAGGCTGCAGAAACAGGGACTATGATGTGGCAGGTAGGACCACCTGTAGACTCAGTCTAAGTTCCAGTTCCTGTGTGGACGCAAGCGAGAGAAAACCTGCAAAAATGAGAGGAACCCATCTCGAATGGTTTGCCTTCTACTTGTACAAAGATGTCGGAGTGAGGATGGTCTGTTCTGTCCACTAGAGGGACCCCCCTTACCCGCAATTTTCACCGCATCCAGAATGACTCCGATCTGGAACGGCTGCGATTTTCGCCATATGCCATTTCCCACTGGATCGGTTTGTGAGGCAAATTTCATGGCGGATTACAGACAACAGGAATCGTGAGAACTCACAAGAATCCACAGATTCACGTGCAATCGTGTGATAACGAGTTGTCTCTATAAAGACAGCCACATAGACATATAAGCAGTAGATTGTGTCCTTCCAGAGGAGGAAATCTAATTCTAGACTTCTAGAATCAGCATCTCCTCATCCATGGTGTCATCGGGGTGAAATGACGTCTAAAAACCTTTCACTTGTTCGTCTCCGCAGAGGAACGGAAAGAAGTCGGTGTAAATTGACACGTTAACTTGAATGGTTACGATCAGCTACGATCGGAGGATATGACCTTTTCCGGATGCAGTGAAAATTGTGGGTCAGTTGGATGGCTTTGGCTCAGCGGTATAGTCGGTTGTCTCCTAATAGGAAGATTTGGGGTTAGAGTGTTGACCTTCTTGACTCTAAACTGCCTCTGTTGGCTCCACACAGAGTCCATTTAGGACGGACAGACGTGACGTGGAAAACTGTCCCGTAGTATGACCAATCATAGTTTGATGTTTGTTCTGGATGGATACTGAATCCTGTCCAAAGAAAGGAGACACCACCCAGAACCAGCATCCAAACTGGACCACCTAGAGACCTGGGTAGGGTTCGACAGAGTGGAAGTTTGTTCAGTAACATAAGTCAGTGTAAACCAGGATGTTATGTTACTTTGGTTGATTACTCCGATCACCATCCTCAGCTCTATGACTTCTGAAATACCTTTGTGAATCTTGGGTTTTACAAAGGGGGGGGGGGGCCCCCCAATAACAGCCGACGTAGCAGACTGAGAGGTTCAACAGCTGAGACACGAACGCTGCTGCCAGGAACCTAAGGGGGATTTTTCATGAGAGGCACAGAGAGAAAGAGATTTTAACTACAGCTGAGTGTCTGCACGCGAGTATACACACACACACACTCACACACTCACACTCACACACACACACTCACACACACTCACAGATTCTTGAGTCAGAAGTTGTTCCGGCAGTGAGAGTGTTGGGGGGTCTCTCCTCACTGTTTCTTCTAAATGCAGAGTCATAGGTATTGAGGGCCTGTGTGTGTGTGTGTGTGTGTGTGTGTGTGTGTGTGTGTGTGTGTGTGTGTGTGTGTGTGCGTGTGTGTGTGTGTGTGTCCTGAATCACTTCAGGTCCTTTGTTGTCTGGAAGATGTCCAGGTTCTTCAGAGTAACAGTCATTTTTGCTCACGTAGAAGAAGGAAATCTTGATTCTGACTCTTTTGTCTTCTGTTGTTCGTCACAAACCGACCCTCTCAAACACTTCCTCTCTTCTTGGTTCTTCCTTTCTTCCTCTTATGGGTTTATTGGTGAGGGTTAGCGTGGATCGGGTTGGATTGAGGATGCTGTCTCTCTAAGGTGTTGTGAACCAAACCTGACTTGGTCCTCCCAGTGATGTTCATACATTCCTCTTTATCTAAATTTTTGGATGTTGGGGAACATTGAGGACCATGTAGGTTTTGGACTCATCAGTAGAGCATAAACACTGTAATCAGGATTTAATGGATCTGACTTATTTAGACCCAAAAGGATCTGTGCCACAACAGATTTGCTTTCCTTCCTCCATCCCTTCTTTACTGTTTTCCCTCAACCTCTTCTCCTGCTATGAGAAGGCTTTGTACTCTCTTCTTCTTCCTCCTCTTCTTCCTCACAAAGCCATGCTATCCATCACACACACACCAACTTCGAGGTGTTTGTGTGTGATGCAGCAAAGCAGTTAATGAGCCTGCACCTCCACAGAGTGTTTCATAAAGCTGAAAACAAACAGACCTGAGGAGGACGAGCAGAAGAGATGAAAAGAGAGAGATGTGAGTAAAGGAACAGAGAGGAAGAGAGGAGAACGGATGGAAGGATAAAGAAAGAACAAAAGAGACACGGAGGAAAAAAGGTGCTGGAGTGTGAAGGTACTTTGAGGTCACCGGGGACAGTTCCCGCTGGTGACCACAAGATGGAGCAGTTCAATCTACATTCAGCTCAGTCCCACACACACACACACACACAGTCACTCCTGTCCGTCCACAGAGACTCAGGTGAGCTTTAAACAAACATCAGCTGACAAAGTTTATTAAAGGATAAAACAAACAAATCTGAGACTTTTTCTCTGAACATTTTCACAGTAAACAGAAACTTCACCCTGATAACTGAAGCACCCAAACATGCCTGTCGTGTCTCTGCAGCTCGCCACTGAAGCTTTATTAAGTCCCTGTGTTGAGTGAAAGTTGCGTGCAGCGCTTTTCCCTGCTGTGGAAATCTTCTGCATGTCTGCTGCATTATTTGAATCCATCCTGGCATGTTTGGTGTCTCTGGAAACTTTGGGATGTGGTTTTGAACAACATGAGGATATAATGATGGAGCAGGCGGAGTTGACGGGGTTCAGCTCATGTACTTTTCCAGGCGTGCTGGCCGTCGTTTGGATGCCGTTTTTCAGGCCTGGAGGCGACTTTAAAAACAAAGTGCATCGGTGAAGCTGCCAGCGTTACGACAGGTTCATGACTCACAGGTTCATGGGAGTTATTTAAAGAAGTCACCGGTGCGGACATGCTCGCCGTTTCTTTCATACTCAATCCAACGCCTTTATAAGGCAACTCAGCGCTGAGCCGTGACCTCACACAGGCATGAGCTGGAGATTTCTTTAAACCCCCCCAGACGATTGACGAGTCACACACACACACACACACACACACTTTCCCCTGCCGTGATGATGATGTCATCCGAGCAGAGGGAGAATCCCAGACGTCTGATTAAAGCAGGAAGCTTCAGTGTCGTCTCAGCTTCCTCTACAGTCAGATCTGACTCTGTTCTGCGGGTTCTCGACGTAAACGGACCACATGTTGGAGAAGGGGGGGGAGGGGGGTGATGTAATAAAAGAGAAAGAAAGCGAGAGAGTGAAGAGTAAACAAAACCATGGACCCCCAGAAAGTGCCAAATAACGCCATAAAAACGTCCTCAAAACCCCTTAAATCTCCCCAAAGCTCTTTGTGATCACTTCAGTCCTCATTAGGAAAACCTCTTGGGTCCAAAAACCCAATAATAAAAAACTTCAGAACATTTCCAGAACCAGAACCAATGATGTAACATAAAGACCCACGGTGCCAGAAAAAAAAAAAACAGGCTTCATTTGTACATCGAGAACTTCTGAAGATCAAACTTTATAAAACTTCTAAAAACCTGGAAGCTCTCCCCAACAGAAGGAGACATTCAAACATCATGACGGCGCCAGAGTCTTCTACGACCAGAACTTCAGATGACCCCCCCTGAGGATGTAGTCCTGGAATCACTGGAGAACTGTTGGCGTTACCGGGATGCTGGGGTCATAGTAGAATCAAACACACTGGACCTTCTGTTCAGGGGTCATGAGACATCTATGAAATACGGGAGAACAGGATCAGTTTTTAGGCCGAAGTCTGACCCAAACCATGGGGGATCTCAAGAACTTCATAGGAACCAATTAAATACCCAGAAAAGTCCCCGTCAACCTTCCCTTTGGTTCTTCTTGTATGGAGTAGAACCCAAAAAGAAACTCGTAGCGACAGTCCTGGTCTGTCCATGAGAGACAACAAACCTCATCCTGATGTCTTCAAACAAAAAAACACGCAAACAAGATTTCTCAGCATCTTCCTGGTGATGGTGTTTGCTTTTGAAGGTCAGAAGGAGACGGTGAGAGGTCAGGAGGAGGCTTTCGAAGGTCACATAGAGGCCCTGGTATCAGTCTTTGTCTGTTTCTGGACCATAAAAAGAACTTTTGAACTCTTTAGGAGGTTTTTTTGTTGGTTGCCAGCCTCACGTTTTCTAAAAAGTGTCTCTGGATGATGATTGGGCGACTAAAACTGATGGATTTCAAAACTGATCCAGAGTTCTTCTTGTTTGTCTGCTTCAGTCCTCTCACCACTCGGATCTAAAACCTGTTTTTTTTCTTTCCTCTTGGACTGGATCTAACGTCCTCCGTTCGCCTCCCTCCTCGATTGAGATGGATCGGTTGTTGACAGGAAAATTGTGACTTTTCAAAAGTGAAGATTATTTTATCAAAGTAGAATCAAACAAGATGTGGAAGAGTAGGAAGGATACTGAGCTGACGACCTTCGCAGGAACTCCCTGCTTAACCCGCCAAACGCCGCCAAGTGCAGGCGGCGAGGCGAGAGCGAGCGCACAGTCATGAAGCATGATGTCATGTTGACTGGACCTGAAGAGAGACCAGACTAAACAAATCCAGACTGTCAGACTGTCGGACTGACTGACTGATAGACAGTCAGACAGATGGACAGGAGAGTCACAGGCCAAGTCCAAGTCATCCGCGAGTTTTCCCCTCAACACGTAACTCATTCACAGCCGACGACCGTGGGAGGAGGGAGAGAGAGAGAGGGAGGGAGGGAGGAGGGATAAAGGATTCCCAGCTTTGCTCCATTAACAGCCAAACAGAGGGAGGAAAGGAGGGAGGGGAGAAATAAATAAAGAGAGAGAGGAAAGGAAGGAAGGAGGGAGGGAGGGAGAAGGTAAAAGTTGGGAGTGCTATGAGTCACAGAGAGAGATGGGAGGAGACTGGAGTAGAGAGAGGGATGGAGGGAGGAGGGATGGAGGTATAATTATGGTAGGAGGCTGCCAGGGCGAGAGAGAGGAGAGAGAAGCAGAGGGAGGGAAAGAAAGAAGAGAGCGAGGAGAGAGAAGAGAGAGAGAGTCCAGCCCACTCCGGTAAAACCATTCAACTGGTGAGCGAGGGAACGCATTCAACAGAGAGAGAGAGAGAGAGAGAGAGGAAAAGAGGTAAAGAGAGAGAGAGAGAGGAACTCCCTTCGTCTGGGATAACTTAGTCAAACTGCCTCTCGAACACACACACACTCTGAACACACACTCTGCAGCGAGCGAGCGACTTCACCCCGGGAACAAGGATCCTCCCGCACTCCAGAGTTTTTCCATCTCCGCTTTTTCCTCATCCATTCATCACATCTGAGAGTTTTTTCCTCTCCTTCTTCTCCTTCTTCTTCTTCTTCTTCTTCTCCTGGTTTTGTTGATTTTTCTTTTTCTTTCTTTCTTGTGACGCCTCCACATTTTCCAGCCATCTGTCCCTGACAAAAAAGATAAGGATTACTCATTTTCTCTCTCGGCGTTTTTGTGTTTTTTTCTTCTTCTTCTTCTTCTTTTTTGTCCTCCTCTCTCTCGTTTCTTTACAGCTTTTTTTCCCTCCGGTTTTCGCAGGTGGACTGTGAGCTCAGCTGAACTTTGCAAACAAACTTCTGAGGAGAGAAGGAGAGAGAAAAAGAAAGAGAGAGAGAGAGAGAGAGCAGAGGAAGAACGGAGCGAAGGTGAATTTCAAACACCACTTCAGGACTGATTTTTTTCTTCACACACTTTCGGACAAAAACTCCACTTTCTGCATCTTTTCTCTGCATCTACATCCGGCAGCATCACCAAATCCAGCCCAGCAGCCAATCAGGCGCCTCCTGCCATCATGTCAGTCTTACCTCTGCTCAGCTGGACCGTCCTTCTCCTGGTCCAGAGCTGCAGCTCCTCCTCGGAGTCCACGTCCAGGCTCCAGTCGCCGCCGCTCTCCCTGACCGTCCATCCTCACCACCAGCCCCTGCCGGTGGACGCCGCCTCCAGCTCCCACTGCCCCTCCTGCGCCCTGGCCAGGATGAGGAGGAACGAAGGAGGCGCGGCGGCGGCGACAGCAGATGACATATTGGGACAGGAGCAAGAGGAGGTGGAGGCGGCTCAGCAGGACGTGGTGGAGGCGGTGAAGAGGCACATCCTCAACATGCTGCACCTCCAGGCCCGGCCCAACATCACCCGGCCCATTCCCCGCGCCGCGCTGCTCAACGCCCTGCGCAAGCTCCACGTGGGGCGAGTGGCGGAGGACGGCAGCGTGCAGATCGAGGGGGAGGAGGAGGTGCGAGGGCGGGGTGGCCGTGGAGGAGGAGGAGGAGGGGGAGGAGCAGCGTCGGTCGGACGGGCAGGAGACGGCGATGCTCAGGAGACGACGGAGATCATCACCTTCGCCGAGGCTGGTGAGTACGGCGAGTGTGTGTCTGTGTGTGTGTGTGCAAGTGTGTGTGTGTGTGTGTGTGTATTTGTGTGTGTGTGTGAGTGTGAGCATCATTTTTCCATCTGCATCAGTGTTACAGATGGAAAAATAGCGAGGAACCGGCGTGTGTGTTTGTGTTAGTGTGTGTGTTTGTGTTAGTGTGTGTGTTTGTGTTAGTGTGTGTGTTTGTGTGTGTTTGTGTGTGTGAATAACTGGCAGCAGTTCAGCAGTACGTGTGTGAATCTGCAAGTTGGTGTGTGTGTGTATTTGTGTGTGTTTTTGTCTGTGTATGTGTGTCTGAGCATCACTTTACTCTGTGAGCGTGGAGAGAGAAAATACCTCCGTGCATGTGCAAGTGTGTGTGTGCGTGTGTGTGTTTGTAAGTGTGTGTGAAGCACTGGCAGCAGTCCAACAGTACGTGTGCAAATCTGCATTTTTCTGTGTGTGTGTGTGTGTGTGTGCTGTCAAAGAATGTGTGACGCCTACCTGCGTGCGTATTTGTGTGTATCTTTGAGTGTGTGTAGAGATGACTAGAGTATGTAGGCACATTTTTGCATGTGTTAGTTTGTGTGTGTGTGTGTGTGTGTGTTAGTGTGTGTGTGTTAGTGTGTGTGTGTGTGTGTGTAAAGGATAAAAAAGGAGCTGTGTTAGAAATCAGTCAGCTGAAAACCACCAGATCATTCATGTGTGTGTGTGTGTGTGTGTGTCCACCTGCTTAATTCCACCTGCGTACTCATTCAGCCAAACGTGAAACACACACACACACACACACACACACACACACACAGAGTTACCTCTAATCGCCTCCTGCTGTTTTCAAAGAATACCTCATTATCTACTTGAAATCAGAGCAGAATCGTGTGTCACTGTGTGAGTGTGTGTGTGTGTGAGTGTGAGTGTGTGTGTGTGTGTGTGTGTGTGTAAATGCAGTGAGCCCTTTCCTGACAGACCGTAGCGACAAAGAGCGAGTTACAGTCAGAGAGAGAGAGAGAGCGTTACTGAATAATGAGCCTCGCCTCACAGCGTCCGTCAGGTGATACTTCCTCTTCCTGCTCAGGTGAGGGTGAGGGTCGTGAGAGGGTGAGGCGTTCGCATCATCCCACTCTATCTCACCTTTGACCCCACACACACCTCCGTAGACCCAGGTCAGTTCAGGGTCGCGACGCTCGCACTTATGAGTTTTCTGGTTGACAAAGAAGCAGTAAGTCATTGCAGTTGTCGTGTGTAAACCTCGTATCTCCAGTTTTTGTTTTTTTCACTCCGTTGAAGTTTAACAGCCGTCAGCTGAATGTGGGGAAACTGTCTGTTTCTTCTCACCTCGTCCAGAAGCTGCAGCTGCCCTTAGTGCTCTTCAACGAGCTTATAGAGACCTAAACTCCTTCTGCTTGTCAACACTTTATCACAGTCTACCTCCGTTTGTCTCTGACCGTACATATCTTTAGGGTCTTGGTGCAAGAACGATCGATTCTTCTGCATGATGTCCAAGAGTTCATTTCTTTGTTAGTGTGAGATATTTGCAGCAATTAAAAAAAAGGGATTTGCATGAAAGTTTAGATCCTACAAACTCACCAAAGTGAGTCCAGGCATACATTTTTCCAGGAGCTCACCTGTCAGTCAGGCAGAGTGGGCGGGACTGTGACGTCTCCCTCTTCCTCCTCCTCCCTCGGTGTTTCTGTCGATGGCGTTTGAGTTTCCGTAGGCGAGAGGCTGGAGCAGCAGATGGAAAAGATTTTTATGAAGCGGATCGGAGCAGACAGGCGAGAGGAGCAGGAAAACTCTGAATGAAATGTTGGTCAAAAGTCTCTCTGCGTGGATGAAAGTGAGGTTACACACAGACGGAGTTTTATCGTCATTATCAAGTTTCTGCACACTGGACCTTTCAGAGAACCAAACCAACTAAATTTGACCCAATCGATGAGATAGTCTGCACCAGAACCATTTTAGGACCTTCATTAGACCTCTGGTTCTTGGTCTCTGAGACTCTTGTAGCTCCTCCTCCAATAAAACACACCTGTTAGTAACTCCGACTCAGCGCCAACAGATCCGCCCAGAGAAACTGAACAGTTAAGGTCAAGTTAAAGATGATTGCATTTATGGGATTAAAACTGAAGTTGAATTTCTCAGAGTCAGACTAACATCATCTGGTAACCTGAAGTAGACCCAAACTAACCTTCACCATCTGCACGTGCTCTGTAAGAAAGTCTTTGTTGCTTTCTGACTTTGGTAATCTTCATCAGCGTTTATCTCATCTCAGTGTTTCACCAAGAACTTTTGTTTGGAGTGGCGCTTCCGGGGCGCCAACTCGCTAAAGACCGTGTAAAAGCTTGAACGTTACCTTTCACATTAATGGAAGAGCGTCTGACAGGATTAAATGCGCGTGTTGATGACCCAAAACAAGACAAAAATAATGTTGTGTGTTGTTGCGCTCACACAGTGCGAGTAGAAATCATCAGTGGTGCATTGATATTGATGATCATGTGAAATTTCAGGAGCGGCGCATGTAATTCGCCGCGACTGAATGAATGTCGGGGAAACGCTGCATTTGCACCAGGAGTGTGGAGTACGAGCTGAGGACTTGTCCACAGTTTCTCTTTAAGGTGTTGGTTGTTTTGGTACGTGTCGAATTGGTCAAACAGGAAATGATGCAATAGGAACCAGCTGGAAGGGCGCCAGTATCTATCAGTGCCTCCTTAAAGTCAGAAGTTCCAGACTCTGATGGTTCCACCCTAACCCTGTTCTGGGAACTAACATCTAAGTCCAAATCCAGGAAACCAAAAGTTCTCTTTGTTAGTGTCAGGGTTCTGAACCGGTCTGGAGAAGATCTCAGGACGGGATGGTAGCTGATAGTCTTTGTGGCGTGCGGGCTAACGTAAGCTTTAAGATACGTAAACATGGTCACCTGCTCTGACAGTTTGATGATCATCCAGAGTTTAAATCTCAGACATCTCTGTAAACAGTTGAACCTTCAGTTCAGCAGATCTGGGACCAACCAGAACCACGTGTTGGGGCTCTGCAGTCACCTGTTACCTGACGCCCTCCCCTGATTCCGATGGCAAAGGCGCCTCCAGTTGGGTTTACTCCGTGACGGCGGGTGTTTGCGGATTTTCAGTCATGTGACGGGGGTTGTGGTTTCCTGGTGAATTTTTTTTCAATTTTGACCTGTCATGCGACGATGAGTTCAGCCCGAGTTTTCTGAACAGAAGGTTCAGGGTTACAGAGGTTTGTACGATCGGAGCCGCTCAGAAGTTCGGTGAAAACTCTTCTTCTTCCTCCTGTGGCAGGAGCTGATAAAACCTTGTTGTTTTTCTAAGATGTGACACAGCCCGCCGTGAGAATACTTTGCACCCAGCCAGTCCTGTGCTTTGTTAGAAATAACTGATGCATTCAGGGACCTCAGTAATTATTTTGGGCGACGGAGATGGTGAGTAGGGGAGCGGAGGGACGACTGGAATCTTGGCGGAGACCAAGTGTCAAGCTCCGTTCAGCAGCTCGGACACAATATCTATCTGTCCGTCGTTTTCTTTCCATCTGCCTGTTCTGTTGAAATTCCTCTCCTCCGTCCCTGTTTATCTTCTGCTCCTCTCTCCGTCTCTCCCCACACACAGAGGACAATTAGGCTAATTGAACTTAATTGAACACATCATTAGCGACATTCCACAATCCACTTTCATCTCGCTCTCGCTCTCTGCTGCTCGCTGTAACCTCGGTCTACCCTTCCCTCCTCTGGCAGACAGAATAAGCCGGTCATTGTTGGATCTATTCTGGTGGCCACGTCTGTCTGGGGACTCAAACCAGCAACCCTGGGATGAGCTTGGGCGCGGTTCAGTGACTCCTGACAACAGAGAGGAAACAGTGGATCTGAGCAGCGCCGAGAAAGACAAAGAAAGAGAGAAAAGTCCTTCTGATATGAAAATAAACTATAATTAGCATGTTTCCTCTCCGTGTTTTCCTTCCTCTTCCTCACATTCGTCTTTTCACTCTGCGCTCTTTCATCTTCTTCTTGGCGTTCGCTCCGTTTCCACTCCTCCTTTGCAGCTTTTGTTCTCTCCTCTTCGCTCCCTCCTCTCCCATCCCTCGCTTTGTTGGTGACGTGGCTCCGGCATGTTTATAGCGTGTTTACGGTCGCGCCCGTGCAGTCTTACCGCCGTTTGAATCCCCGGTGGCTCGTTTTAGTTTTCGTCCTCATCCTCGTCCCACCACATCGTTTGGCTCCGCTTTGATGTGTGACCGGCCGCCAAAGATGCTCTATGTTTGGGAAGATGAATCACTGGATAGTAAACAGCTACAGATTGTGTCCAGACCTGCCGTGCACCAACACACAAACCGACAGGAAATATTCTGCAGATACTGTAGATGCTCTGCAGATTTCGCAACTCGACCAAAGGTGGTAATGTTTTAAATTTCCTCGATGTTCAGACTCAAACAAACACTGAGGGCCAATTTTCACTCGTTCCCACACATCCACACTTTCCTGTTGCCACTTGGATACCACATGTGGATCCTTCCGCCGCAGAAAGTAGTTCCAGTCCTTCTGATAGTTTGATTAAAACTTCACTGAGAAGCTGAAATAAGAAACTTAATGATCCTGTTTTTAGGTCTTTAGGAACCAGACGGACTTTAAGGATGGACTATCATAGTCCTGACTAGACAAGACCGAACTCTGGAGTGGACTTTCATTGTCTAAGTGATTTTAGTTTGGAAACAAAAGCGTAGCTCTTGGTTTTGATAGTATCGGTGGATCTCCAGTAGCTGTGAGAAATTATTTCATTTTTTAAAGTCAGTCCAGAAAGATGAACCAGGACATGATCAGAGGTGTCATGGTCAGACGCTGGTATTTAAGCAGGGATCAGTGATGGCATCTCGCTGACCCAGAGTCCGCAGGAGGACGAGGTGTGGGGTCTACCTCAGCAGAGAGGGAACCACCAACCTTCAGTCCTCCACCTTATCTTTCAAACAAGTGTCATGGACCAGTTTAACCAGACCAGTTTAACCAGTCACCTGGTTATACCTCCATTACATCCTGTGGTAGTAGACATAAACCTGAGCTGTTCCTCGTGGACGGTGGCGATGCTTCATCCTGGGTATAACCAGAGAGCGGCGATATGACAGATGATCAAAGTGAAATAAACACAGATGTGTTTGTTGATCTACTTCTTTCTTTTTTATTGTTCTGCTCTTGTTGGACTTGATTTTAATCAATAACCAAAATTGACGACCTGCTGAGGCAGAAGTCGACCAACAACTCCTGCGTTCGCCCTCAGGTGGTACCTTCTTGTTGTGTTGGTGGACTCTGGTGTCGATGTCATGACTTCTGATTGGTTTACAGCTGTGCTTGATCTCTGCTACATATCCGACTATTTCCATATGACAGTATTTTTGGTCCTGGTGGGACATGAGTAAACGTACGACATTAAAACAGAGTCAGGGTCGTTTTTAAAGTCCTCAGAGTGAGACATCCTCTGTGGGAAAGAGACGGAGAGACAGAGAGGGTGAGGAAAATTAGAGAGTGAAGCTGTCCCTGAACCACAGCAGCAGACTCAACACTCACTGAGGTTTTCATTAGAGACCTGAACATGGAGCTGATACCTAATCTCAGAGGTGATACGAGAGTTTCTGTGGAGATAAGAGACCGAACGATAATGAGGAGAAAATATTTTAGGCTCTGAAGGATTTAAGGTGCAAAAAAACTCACAAATGCTTCAAAACAGATCTAATATCGTCCAATCAGAGTCCTTTGTCTCTGAAGAATCTACCATGATCACAGACCTGCAGAGATGGACTCCCTAAGACTTGTTGTTCTCCTTCATGGATATCCATTCACTTTATTTGCAAAGTCATATGATGTATAGATGCAGAAAAACTTGAATCACAGATAGTTTTTTTTAGAGGGGGTGTTTCTGGTCGAAAAGTTCTTGGATCTTTTTCTGTAATGTTGTCAGACTCAGAAAAAAACCAGAACTTTAAGCGGATCCATCGAGGATGACGTTGCAGACATCACAGGAGGATGGAGAAATCTAGTTCAGTATTTCCAAACATTTCCCTCCTTTTGACCCCAAATATGAAGAAAACGGGTCCAAGTTTTACCACAAGACCCCCTTGAGTTGGACCATTATGGCTTTACTTGGAATCCTCAGAGTTTAACCGACCTCTCTCAGCGTTTACTCGTCTTTGTTCGACTTTGTGAACACACCCACAAACTTTCAGAGACTGTTACTGGACCGTCTTTAGGTTTTCAGACCAGTATTCGGGTCTAACTGTGTCACTAAGGACCATCCCCAGCGTGGGTCCGGTCTCTGAGGACTGTCCAGACCTCGTCTCATCTCTGCTCATCAGAGTGTTTATAGAGACCAGGATTTCCTTCTTCTGCTCGGAGTCTTTGCCTGTGAAACCCGAGCCCACAGCGGCGGCGGCGGCGGCGGCGCAGTCTCTTTGGCATTTCGGTATTTTGAGATGGGAACAGTTGACTGTCAGATTGGACTGCTTATCTGCTCTCTCATTATAAATAAAGTGGCCTGGGAACCTAGACACACAGTGGGAGTTACAAGCTGGCAACTTCAACTTCAATTTAGCTCAAAACTTTATTGTCCCAGGAGAGGGATCTGGTCTGTAGACGGAGTCTGGAAATGAAAACCATGCTCTGAAATCCCCGAGTTAAAACAATGAAAACACATTAAAACACGGGGCTGAAAACACGACATGTGACAGCTGAAGTGGGTTTGATGGTGGAGAGGCCGTCCCGCCTCTGTTTCCCACACTCTCTCTCTGCGTTGTTGTTTTCGTCTCTGTGTTTGACACTGAATTTGTTGGAGTTCACAGCTGGAGTAATTTGACAGACCGCTTTTATTTGGTACAAACAGTCAGAGTATGTGACAGCACGGTTCGAGGGCGTTCACGATGGAAACAGAGGCCGGCTTTAACCATCGGGGGGCCTCTCGCTGTTTGTCTTCTTCTGCTTTTGGTGTCACTTCATGCGGTTTTTATTGCATGGCTTTACAGCAGCTTGAAATAAACAGTATGCATGGATGCAGAGTGACAGTACGATCTTTATCAGAGCGGCGGAGATCCAGATCCACAGACCAGGATCTTTGTTGGTCCTGGATTTGAGGTCTGAAAGAACTTAGAAGAGTTTGTTTGCTTTACAGTCAGCTCAGTCTGTCACTAACACCGCTGCAGTTCCTCCTGTGTCCACTAGAGGCGGTCCCCTGAAGTCAGTCAGTCCCCATAGAGCCTCATGTCACTTTGTAAACTTCTGTTTCTAAAAGTGCTATAAAAAAAATAAAGTAATTATAATGAGTTACTATCATGTCAGACGTCTAAGTTTACAGCAGAAATAAACCTGCAGATCCACACGGATATACGACGAGTTTATTTATTTTTATCGTCTGTATTAATTTCCAGTCTGTTTAAAATTCTCCACATGTGAACTTTAAATTAACTTTGGCTGTTTTGTCTCAAATATTTCACTTTAAAATGTTAAAGTTAAATTAACTCCATAAACATGAACTGGGAGGACAAACAAACCATCAGACGGCAGCCTGAACTTTCAGCCCTGTTTTTTTTCTGCTCACTTTGAAGCATCTGGAGCAGATTTATCTACGGTCACATCCATTCGTGTTTCTCTTCCTCTAATTGTGTCTTTGCATGCAGACTGAACACCTTCAGGCTGCAGGTCACTTTGATCTGCATCAAACACAGATCTCAGCTGTGATTGGTTACTCTCCGGCAGGTGTTCTCTCCGCTCTTCACTTCCACACGTGAAATTTTCTCAGACTTTTTCAGAGCTCTGAAATTTGACAAAGGCCCGTACGCTTGCGGTGGATCGCAGAAATTTGACTCTGCAGCTGGTAAGAAAAAGTCCTTTCAAAGTCAGGAGTCAATTCCAGCTCTTTGTGGTCGCAGGTGCAGCTCACCTGGAAAATTTCGGGTCGATTTCAGGAGTTTTGAGAACATTTGATAGTCAGGCTTCAAGTCTGGGATTCAGCGATCTCCTGGGTCAGTCAAGCCGCGATAATGCGCCAAAACGACAGGCTCGGGTTAGCGTCATCTGAACTCCAACAGGCAGGACTCTCCTCTGAGAGTGTGTGTGTTCTGATGCATGTGTGTGTTGGGGTGTGTGTGTGTGTGTCGGTCCAGACGAGACTTCCTCTTCCCTCTGGCTGACGATGAGCGAGTTTGTCATTCGGGACATTCCTCTCGTCAGAAGGCGAGGCTGCTCTCATACCTCCTCACCGCCTTTGTTTACCGGCCGTTTGACAGCGTTACACAGATTCGGTTTCATGTCACGAGCCGTCCCCTGAGTGTGTGTGTGTGTGCGTGTTTGACTGTGTGTGTGTGTTTACTAACAGCCCACTGACTCACATGTGGTGCCAATAAGGCCGTGGAGCAGGGCGTCGACTCTCGGGGATCTGGAGCAGATTTCTGTCCCATGCAGGCGAGGCTGAGCCTGACAGTCCTTACTGAGGGATGCACACACCCATGTGAAGTTAAGGCCTGTCATTGTTCAAACGCTCTAATCTGATGGTTTTAAAGGAGTAAGACACTTTTTTTGAGGGGGGGGAGTCCAGCACACATGAGCTTGTCTTGTAAAAGCAGCTCTTTAAATCTGTATTTCTGCTCACAGTCGAGATCAGCATCAGCATGTCGAGGGGATTTATGGCTCTGGTGGATCCATGCTGGACTGGTTAGCAGGTTTACAGGAAGACCACAGTGCAAAGAGAGATCCTAGTTTTGAGTAGATGTGACAGCTGAGAGCCGAGGACGTGATGCCACTCGCACAAACAAACATGTGGTCCTGGTCGAGTTTATGACTCGGTAAATTATGAGTTGTTTTATATGTTTACACTCATGGTTGTTTTTATGAGAGTGTCCTCCAGATCTGACACCAGAACTCCTCCTGAACGTCTCCCAGAGAAAAGGACCATGTGTGACGTTCAGGAGGAGGTCTTCACTTCAGATTTATGGACCAAACTCTGCTGAGGGAAGCTAAAGCTGGAAATCAAACCCACAACCTTCTTCTGCAAACTAAAGGCTGCTTCTCCAACAGTCTCTCTCTCTCTCTCCCTCTCTCTCTCTCTCTCTCTGTGTCTCTCTCTCTCTCTCTCTCTCTCTCTCTCTCTCTGTGTCTCTCTCTCTCTCTCCCTCTCTCTCTCTCTCTCTCTCTCTCTGTGGTTGTTTGTAATTTGGGGGTAAAGGGTGGAGGAGGGGGTGACCCAGCCCTCTGATCCTCCTAAAGTAAACTCAAAGACAGAAGAAAGGGCGGACTCTGATCCCCTCAGAAAGATCCCGTCCTGACTCCTGAGGTACACTGTAAAAAATGTCCCTCACATTGTCCTGTTAACTTATCGACCAGGTTACAGGTTACAGTCTTTGAATTTTACTAATTAAACTAAAAACATGTCAAAAGACCAAAGCTAAAGTATATAAAAGAAGCTGCAGTCCCTCTGGTGTCCACTAGGGGCAGCTCCAGCTGTGAGTCTTCCCCCATAGAGCTCCATGTCAAAATGTTAAAGTCAAACTTCAGGTGGATTTAATGTAGTTTATGTTTCTTTATTTCAATCAATCAATCAATCAATCAGTCTTTATTTATTAAGGACTTTTCATACAAAATCGATGTAGCACAAAGTGGTTTAAAGAGCAGAGGAATAAAAGAAACAATGAAAACCCAAATTTACCCCAGTCCAACCCCTCACTTCCACCCTGTGATCTAAACACAACAGAAACAGAATTAAAATGCATGAACTTAAAAAGGGTTTGATTTGATATAAACAAGAATGTGCGCACTGAAGAGGAAACGCTGTTTTAAAATTCAAGAAGAGGAAAAACTGGAGGTTTAAAATCTAAAAACAAAGAAACGTAAAATTTAAGAAATAATAAAATGAAAAAAAAACAACAGTAAAAGACACTTAAATAAGAGCACTAAGAGAGCTCAATAAAAGACGATCCTGTCATTAAAACTAGATAAATGCTAAAACACTTAAAGTTAATGATAAAAAATTTAAGTTAAAAGCAAAACTAAACAGATATGTTTTCAGGTCGCTTTAAGTCAAACCTCATTTTACGGGAATTACTGCAGAAAACTCACTAAGTAGCTAACATTAGCATTCATAGCATTAGCATTCAGCTGTAATTCCAATGGTGTCGTATATAAATATACATATATCTAAAGTCAGCCCAGTATAGAGTGTATGAGTGAACACTTGATCTATAGAGACCCTAACTGTTTTTGTACCAGCCTGTAAACACGTTTAATTCTGCTGTGAAGTTTTAACATGAAGCTCTATGGGGGCTGACTCACTTTGGGAGACAGTCTCTAGTGGACAGAAGAGGAACTGCGGTTATTTATAGAAAGGTACCAGAGGTCGATTTCTGCTCAGTACAGAGATGTTTGTTTGAACCATGACTCTAATTTCACTGGGGTCATTTTTTACAGTGTAAAATCTGAGGCTAAAGTCGGAGAGCGTCTGTGATCCTTTAATGTAAACCTGACCGACTCGGCGCAGATACGACACACGATTAGCATTCCTCTGATGAAGGCAGGAAGCAGCAGTCCTGATCCTTCACATCTGTCAGACACACAACCCTCTACCTACAGATCCTCTTCTTCTTCTTCTTCACTTCTTCATCCTCTCTTCATCCTGCTCCTCCGTCCACCAAGAGCAGAGAGAGTTTTCAGTTCGGAGGGTGGAGGAGAGGACAGGAGGAAACAGCTGTGCAAACTGTGAATCCCAACACAAGCTGCCGTTTCTCTTTCTTTCTCTCTTTCTTTCTTTCTTTCTTTTCTCTCTTTCTTTCTTTCTTTTCTCTCTTTCTTTCTTTCTTTCTCTTTCTTCTTCACAGCAGCAAAGACAAATTTGTCGGAGCTGCAGGAGAAGAAAAGTTGAACTCCTTTTTTATCGCTTGCCGACACGAAAACACACAAACACAGTTGCTAAGTACACAAACAAAGATGCACATTTACACAAACAGCTTTGGGCCACATAAACGTTCACACACACACACACACACACACACACACACACACACACACACACACACACGCACACACACACACACACAGAGGTTTGCTCAGCCTGTTGAACGCCGCTCCTCCATTGAAGGAGGGATTACAAAAAAACAATACAAAACACACAAACGGACTAAAAGTGTATGTTTGGACAGATGGGCTGAGCGTGTGTGTGTGTGTGTGTGTGTGTGTGTGTGTGTGTGTGTGTGTGTGTGTGTGTGTGTGTGTGCTGTTGCTTGTTGTGGTCTCAGTAAACACAGAGAACTGAGGATTGGAGGGTGTGTTCGCTGATGTCAACACCAAACCCAAAATTAGAAAGAGAGGTCTCTTCTTCTCCTTCTTCTCCTCCTCCTCCTCCTCTTCCTCCTCCTCCTGCTCTTCCTCCTCCTCCTCCTCTTCCTCAGAGTTGAACGATGCGTCTTTGTCCGTCACTGTCTTATTTCGTTGAGTCAGATCAGACAGACAGTGAGAAGCTCTGGACCATGTCGTCCATCTGAGCAGCTTCCTGAAGGTCTATAATTCAAAAGTGTTTGTTAGTCTTCAGCTCTGACAGGAACATAAACTAAAGATGGCGGCACGGCGCTGACAGGACGCCACATCAAAGCGTCAGCTGTTTCATAACTTCATATTTAAATATTTGGACTCTTCTGCAGCAGAACTCGGAGGTTTACTCAGACCTCCAGGTGTCTGAGGACGAAAAACTGGAACCTCTGAGACGTCTGCTGAACAAATGAGTGTGTGTGTGTGTGTGTGTGTGTGTGTGTGTGTGTGTGTGTGTGTGTGTGTGTGTGTGTGTGTGTGTGTGTGTGTGTGAGACCAGAACTCCTTCTAACAACATGCCGATGAGTGTTTGTGTCACGTCTTGTTTAGCAGCTTAAATCAGAGTCAACATGAACCCCAGGGGCTGATGGGAGATTATTTAGGGGGTGGAGATGATGCTGGTACTGAGGGCAGCTGAGGAGACCTGAAGGTGGTCCCAGTCTGGTTTAGAGGATCTAACTGGACTCCCTGATCACCCGTGGACCTCAGGATCATCCTAATGAGGTTCTTGTTGGTCTTCTGAAGGTTCAGTTTGGTCCATCCTGTGGTCCTTGGTGGCCCGGGTCAGTATAAAACCACGTTTTTGTTGCCCAGACCTGGTTTTTGAAGCTCTAACTGGACTTCAGAAGATGTTGGTGCTCAGACCGGGTTTGTGATTGATGGACTGGTTTTGATATGATAGGGTAACTGGTGGTTCTGAGGTTCTGGACTGAGTTTTTGTAGCTGATGATGGATCATCTGTTTGGGTTCTGGTGGTTTGGTGGTCCAGACTGGGATCTTGATGTGCTAACGTGACCTCTGAGGGTTTAAACTGGTTTCTCTGGTCCCGTTCAGCGGTTCTGTGTTGGTCATGGTTTGATCTGGTTCTGAAGGTTTTCCTCTGAATGTTGATGGACAAACATTGAAACCCAGATCCGGGTTTTTGATGGCCGGGTTCTTGTTTTCCATGGCCTTCCTGTGGACCTTAATCCGATTACAGAGGCCGTGTTTTGGTGCTGGTTCTGGTCTCCTCTTGGATGAAGTTCTTGTTTTTCTGGGCCGGTCTTCAGGAAGTTTAAAAGTTGAAAAGATCGTTTCAGGTTCACAGACGTCACTTTATGAATTCTCCAGACTAGATCCTGTCAAAGCTGATTTCCTTCAGTTCTGGACCGTCCTGGTCGGGACCGATCCTGGTACCAGAACCCCGACCTGCAGTTTTCTGTGCTTGTTTGGGTTTTCATCTCTCTCTCTCTCTCCCTCGTCGCTGAGCTGTCCAAACACAGACGCTGCAGGAGAAACAGAGCAGGCCGCGGCCAGAAATCAGCTTTTATGAGTTTGTTGAGACATCAGTTTGTACAGATCAGTCCTCTCAGTCCTCTATAAACGTGGGAGGACGGAGGGAGGGAGGGAGGGAGGGAGGGAGAGGGAGAGAGGAGAGACTCCAACAAAGAGTCCAAACTCCTCTCAGCTGTTCTTCTCTAACCTGTTGTGATGTTTTTATATTTGAACTCATTTATAATAAAGTGGAGCAGACGTCACGTCTTCATCATCAGAGTGAAGATAAACACTCGTCTTCACAGGCAGAGATTCTTCTCACTGAAGCTGAAGAAACTTCCTCCAAACTTCCTTTAAATAAAACGTGTCTGATCGTTTGAGCGCTCGATGTTTCGTTGAGTTTCCACGAACACGTTTCTCTCCTGCTCTCCAGGTTTCCTTCGATGAGACGAGCCGTAAACTCGTCTCTTTTCTGTGAGTCAGCAGCTGAATCTGTTTTCTGAGGTTTGAGCTGCGGTCGTTTCTAAACAGTCGTGACCTCATGACCTCTGAATCCTGAATAAAATGTTCCCGTTACTTTGTAGGTTTTCTGCGTCAGGCTGCAAACATGTTTCATTTCTCAGAGCGACAGAATAGAGAGAAACACGTTCATGGATGTCTCTGTTATCTCCAGCTCTGACTCTGCACATTTTTCTGACTGGAACGTGCTCCTGCGGCGGCCGCAGCAGCGGCGGCGTTGCTCCTGTCCTGTCATTGGTCAGAGTTCCTGCAGACAGATGTGTGGCACAGAGTTGAGATCCCACAGACGTAGCAGGCGTCCGTCCACAGCTCGTCTGTCATTACAGCCATAATAAGCAGCTCCGCGTGAACACACGGGGCCGCCTCCTGACTCTGCTCGCCGTTACAGCTGCTGCTCTCACCTGCTAACGTGCTATTAGCATTTCCTCTGACCGTGACAGAGAGGAACATTTAACACTTCGTATGAGTCCGGTTTACAACACAGAAAGAACCAGAGTGGGTCCTTCTCCTTTAACCCTTTCATGAACCAGAGGACTATAATTCAAACCGGTGTCGTACCTCCTCCAAACCATAAAACATTTTTTTAATCACGTGAAAATTAAACAACAAACTCCAGAAGACACCAAAGATGATTTTTTGTTGGACTTCATCTTTAATCTCTAAAGGTGTTGTAGTCAGGATCTGATGAAGTTCCAGTTTTTAGGAGAAATCTCGAACGTAAACTCTACCCCTCCAACCAGTTTTCCCCTCAGCTCCTCCCCTCCCTCTCTTAAGCCCCGCCCACAAACAGACGCTCCTGCTCGCTCGTATCGTTCCAATTAAATTCAGATATAATGCAGATAAATCCTTCAGATCATTACAAATGGGGCCCAGTCAAGGTGAAAGTCAAAAGCATTGGTGCTACTGTAGATGCCAACAGACTACCAGCAAACACAATGTTTGCAGGACTTCTACAACTAGGATAAAGTGACATAGTCCAGGACCCGAGGGAGGACAGTTTAGCGATGGCGCTACAACACGCTACAGCAGGTCCGTTTGACAAGAAACACTTCTGTTACAGACACTTGTCTTACTTTGTTAAAGCGGTTTACCTGTCCAGCAGAAAGGTTACAGGGTCACCAAGATCCCCAAGCGTCCCCCATCGTTTTTGTTGACCAGGCTTTTTAGCTCTTGTCCGGTCTACCTCCGTTTTAAGCGCCCGTTATTCCTCCAGAGTCTCCGCTATTTACTTTGTTTTCTTGCTTGTGTCGGCAGTCGTGGCCAAAGGAGGATTCAGACAATTTTCCGAACTTTCTGGTTGGTTTCTACTGTCCGATATTGTAGCACGCTAACTTTGTTTGGGCTCCTGAACGACACGGGGGAGCAGCGTCTGCCTCACAACCAATCAGCACTAATGCAGCGTTCGAGTAACCTCGGGAATTTAGACATCGGAGCTGAAAATGACGTCACCGCCGAGTTCCCAGCGTTTCAGTTACGAAGTTGGAAAAAAGTCAAATCGGAGGTGGAAACAAGATGGCTACATCTACGAAAGTTATTTTCGCTCTTGGCTTATATTTGGACAAGGCAAGCGCTTGAATAAGAACAAAGAGATATCGTTAAATTACCAAATGTCATGTCAGCTGTTTGCTTTCCCCGCCTCCACCTCAGCTCCATCTTTCTATCGAGATTCTAATAAGACCAGAGTGAGCGATCAGAACCGAACCATGACCCCCAAATAGAGTTAATATAAAATTAATGATGATTAATGAAAATTAATGATCCTCTGTGACTAAAGTGGGCGTGGCTGAGTTCAGGACAGGTGAGTCTGACTTCCTGTCTGTGGCTCTCAGCTCAAAGCTCATTTGACGTAGATCTTCAGACGTTTGTGGAGTCTCTGCAGCAGGTCAGGGTCTGTGTGTGGCCCAGTTAAGTTGGACTTCAGGGACCGTGTTCTTGGTTCTTGCGCTCTCGGCGTGGACAGGATGTTTGTTTTTAGATTTGTTCTCAGACAGGAAGAAAAATTAGGAACTGGAACAGACTGACGGTGGATGTCAGCGGCGTTATTCGCGTCACACCAACAGATTGGATGGTCGTCTTTGTCCCAGAAGTTAAAACAAAGAGTTTTATTCTTCAACATCACAAACACTATTCTGAGAAACAATGAATGAACCAACGCGGCTTTTCTTTTTTAACCTCACTGAAGTGACGATGATGTAAGCGAGATAATCGCCTCCGAATTGTCGGTTAAACAGCGTTAATGGACTCGCTAAAGTGCTGAACGCCTCCGCACACACACATGCACACACACACAGACAGGCCGCCCATTCACACCGTTTAACAGAGCATCACTGCTGCTGACATTCATAAACTCCTAAATCGTGACTTTGATTTTCTGTATGGACGCCCACGAGCGAGAGACGGCCGAGACAGACGGAGAGGAAGAGGAAAAGGTGATTTAAGGAGGTTATGTAACCGCGCTGGGAGATAATTGGGCCTCTAACCTGCTGATTAACTCGGGGCCGTCTGGACCCCAGGTTTCTAGGAAGTGTAAAGTACAGGGCTGTGTGTGTGTGTGTGTGTGTGTGTGTGTGCGTGTGTGTGTGAGAGTTTACATGTCCACAGCTGATCCCTGCAGAGCCCACCACCTCTGAGCGTCTTTACAAAGTCTGAAATAAAGATGATCTGCTGAATAAAAGTTGGTTAAAGTAAAAGAAGATGGAGTAAAACTGAAGAGAGAACTCTGCCTCGACTTCAGCTCGTTTAATTTCCTACAGATTTGAACTTTTATTAAAATGACTGAAGGAAAAAAAGGAAGTTTAAAAGTTTCACTGACCTTTAATCTGAAGAGACTTATAGTCAGGTGCAAATATGACTTAACCCCAGAAAAAGTCTAACAAAAAATAACAAAAAAATTCCAACAAAAAAATAACAAAAAAATTCCAACAAAAAAATAACAAAAAAATTCCAACAAAAAAATAACAAATTTTTTTTTACAAAAATAACAAAAAAAAAATGTGAACAAAAAATAACAAAAGAAAAATTCTAGCAAAAAATAGCAAAAGAAATTCTAACAAAAATTCTCTAAATTCAAATGTCTCCATGTGTTTTTTCCAGGTCCTTAAAATGACCATTGCTCCTCTGTATTCATTCTAGACCAGGAATCCTGGCGCCTCAAACATGTTTTGACCTTCTAATTGGCATATTTGTATGATAGATCAGTGACTCAGGAGGGCGCTACAGCGAGCTCACCAGCTGCTGCTGCTTCTTCTTTTTTCACCGTAAACCGGACCTCACCATATGACTGCATGTTCACTATCAGGAGACGGTTATCATTGACACCAGCCTTAGAACGTTTCCTACAAACACACCAAACCTCATTCATAAAACTGCTCATTTTACCTCACTGGACACAGGAGTTGTTGGTCTACCTCTGCCTGGACTGGTCCGTTGTTTCTAGACCAGGTTTTGTCTGAGCTCCTCTCCTGCTGAAACAAGGATTTACTCTTTCCCATAATTCCCTGTGAACGCAGAGGTTTCACTTTTATCGACCATTTATTCAGACGAGCTCCTGGTGGGAAACATTAGACACCGAAAACCTCCGACCGCCACCGCCAAGTCAGCAGGAAGAGGCCAATCAGCAGTGCGTGTGTGTGTGTGTGTGTGTGTGTGTGTGAGTGTGTGTGTGTGTGTGTGTGCGTGTGGATGACTTTATAGCTCAGATGTGGTCATGCTCGTCACGTGTGTGTTTGTGTGTGTGTGTGTCAGTGTAAGTCGTGGTCAGGTTTGTTTCACCACGAGGTTTACTGCTGATGGCGCCTGGTTCTGTGTTTCCTTGGTTACCTGCAGTTTATTGTAACATAAAATCAGAGTTAGCCAATCAGAGAGCAGAACAGCTCAGACGTCTGTTCTTCAGTGAGTCTGGTTCTGTTGGAGGTTCTGTTGGAGGTTCTGTTCCGTCTCCACCTGCTCTGAGTGAAAACTGAGTGAATCCTGAAAAAGTGGCGTTGGTCGTCGTTCTAACCTTCTCTCTTTTTCTCTCTTTGCCTTTCAGGCGAGTCTCAGGGCACGGTGAACTTCGTCCTCTCGAAAGAAGGCGGCGACCTCTCTCTGGTGGAGCAGGCCAACGTCTGGCTCTTCCTCCGTTTGGCGAAGACCAATCGCAGCCGAGCCAAAGTCACCATCCGGCTCTTCCAGCAGCGCCACCTCCCCAACGGACGCCCGTCTTTACCGCAGGACGACGTTCTGCTGGCCGAGAAAACCGTGGACACTCGGCGAAGCGGCTGGCACACCTTCCCTGTGTCGGGCGCGGTTCAGGCGCTGTTGGAAAGCTCTGAGAGCACGACGCTGCGCCTCAGGGTGTCCTGCCCACTCTGCGCCGATGCCGGTGCGACCATCGTGTTGGTCTCCGGCAGCCCAGAGACGTCGCAGCGGGGGAACCAGCGGGAACAATCCCACCGGCCCTTCCTCATGGCTGTGGTTCGACAGGATGACGGCAGCGACTCCAGGCGGCGCAGGAAGAGAGGACTGGAGTGTGACGGGAAGGTGCGCGTCTGCTGCAAACGCCAGTTCTACGTCAACTTCAAAGACATCGGCTGGAACGACTGGATAATCGCGCCGTCAGGATACCACGCCAACTACTGCGAAGGGGAGTGCCCCTCCCACGTGGCCAGCATCACCGGGTCCACGTTGTCCTTCCACTCCACCGTCATCAGTCACTACCGCATGAGGGGCTACAGCCCATTCCAGAACCTGCGGTCCTGCTGCGTCCCGACCCGGCTACGGGCCATGTCCATGCTGTACTACAACGAGGAGCAGAAGATCATCAAAAAGGACATCCAGAACATGATCGTGGAGGAGTGCGGCTGCTCGTAAACACGCGGGCCGACCCGGATCGGTCCAAAACGAACTGGACTGGAGGGGACCTGAGAGGAGGAGGGGGACTCCTGAACCCGGAGAGAGAGAGCGACGGAAAGAGGAGAGGAGAAGGAAACGTTGTTTTTTTTTTTTTCTTTTATCGTCAACGTTTGATTCGGCGTCTCCCTCCGTCACTCGGGTCGCTCTCTGGGATAAAAACTGTCTCCGTCCTCGTCCAGCAGAACTCAGAAAGAGTCTCGACGGCACTTTCAAAAAAAAAAGAGAAGAAAAAAAAAGATAGAAAAAGAATATCTAATATATTTTTGTTACAAAAGGAGGAGGGGCGGGGTTTATTTATGTGGCTGAGACGTTCAAGCACCGCTCGACCCGTCGGATCTCGGAGAGACGAGGTGCCTGAAAAAAAAACTACTAACAAAAAAATCTCAAAACTATGCAACTTGTTTCACGTATTACAACCTGATTATATTTTACAGCGTTTTTGTTTCCCAACTGTTTACTTTTCAAATGTTCGAGGAAGAAAGACGAAGAAGAAGAAGACTTTTATATTATTTTTGGAAGTATACATTTGTGATGTGTGTGTGTGTGTAAGTGTGTGTTTATGTAAGTGTGTGTGTGTGATTGTTGAGAGATACTTGAATGAAACAAGTTGGCCCCGCTGCTGGAACCAAACACTTCTTTATGTTACCATGGTTACCATGTTGTTGTTGTTGTTGTTGTTGTTATAATTATTATTGTCAGTAAGTATATTAATAATATTATTGTTATTGTTGTTAATAATATTTTGTTCGGCTGCATTCGTGTTGTTTTGTCGGCTTTGTTGATTTTTTTAAGGAGACGTTTCAAACGTCGTCTAACGTTTTGCACTAAAGCGACACTCGAGCTCAGATTAGACGGAAAGAGCGGACAGACCGGGACTTCCTGTTCAGGGTCCACTCTGGGTTATACGTCGAAAAGATCGCAGGTTTGATCGCCATGACGAGTCGAGCTCCGTAGCTTTACAGTCACAGTCTTCTGAAGGAAATGATGACTGAGTTTTAATAAAACTAAATTAAATAGTCTTCACCTTGTTTCTGTCGTTTCTCTAATCTGTTCACTGACAGCGTAATCTACGTCTTCTTTACAACGCTGAGTCTAAATTTTGCCTCCAGATCTTCAGAAACAGCTAAAAATTTTTAATCCAGTCAGTTAAAATAATGAATCCATCTCCAGCTTTGTTCGATAATGTCAGAAGTTTGGTCGTATTTAGTCAAAAATCGCCATGTCGGCCCAAAATGTTCGTATTTCCAACTGTAAAACTGACGAGAATCTCGAGTCAAAGTTTCTGAAATCTTCACCCAAAGATCTGAAAGTGGAGACAAAAAAATAGTAATTTTAAGATAAAAATGTTGTTATTCTCATCATCTTATACATAGTGATTACTTATTTAAACAAGAAAATTTAGCGTTAAGGTGACCATCTAATAGCTATCAAGTGAGTTTATGTAGCAGTGTTAGCCTGTAAATATAGCAGTGCTAGCTAGTCCGTTAGCACTAAAGGCTAACTTCTATTTTAACGCCACATCTTATCCAACATGAATTCATTCCAGTTTGACTGAGCTGACTCAGACCCAGAGTGCTAGCAGCAGCGGCGTGACGACACTAGCAGGATCTCCCGTCTGTCCGCTAACCTGATACAAAAATCTGTTTTTTTTAAAGTCGATTATTAAAAAAAAGCACTTAGTTTAAAAAATAAAAGATTTAAGTGGACATCAGTGGGATGAACTCATCAAGCTAAAACACAGAAAAAAACGATGTTTTGACTCCCATGAATGCTTGTTTAGCGTTAGCCGGCATTTCCAATAGCTTAACTTTTCTGTAACAGCTAGCGCACTGCTCCTCTCTCTAATCCCAAAAAAATAAAAACAGAAAAAAAACAAAGACTAAAAGCACAAGATTGATACTGTGAAACACTTGATTTCTTTGTCTCTGGTGGATGTTTACAATGTGCCAACTAGCTAGCTAACCATGGTTAGCATTTGCCGACAATATTTAAATGATAGTTTTTCATCTTTGAGCACTACGAACAAAAAAACCTGGCTTCATCTTTCTAAACTTTAGTCCAGACTAGCCTCCTTAAAATTAAAAAAAAAAAAAAACACAACCATCTATTCTGTGTAAGGCCCGACCGATACAGATTTTTTTGGGGTTGATATCAATTATTAGGAGGGGGAAAAGTCCAATTACCGATTAATCGGCCGATTTTTAAAATTTTCTATGTAGTTATAAAAAATATATATATATACTGTAGGCTACTGATCTTGATGCCGCCAGGAAGACCGACTGATCAAACTTGGACCAGAAAAGCATTTTCAACTTCGTCTCGATAACGTCGTAAACTGATAAGATGTATAAAAATTAACCCCCAAATATTATTGATCAAGAAAAAATATAAACAATGAGACTAAATCTGTTTTTGTATCAGGCTGTAAACGTGTTTATCTCTGCTGGAAAGTTAGACCTTTTAACATGGGGTTCTATGGGGATTGACTCACTTTTGGAGATAGCCTCTAGTGGACAGGAGAGGAACTGCGGTTTTAACGTCCGAGTTTGCCACATGGTCACTAATTGTATAAGGTTTTTTTCGAGTCCTTATTTTAGCAGCCAAAAAAAGATGTTTGAATTTAATTTGCAGAATCGATAAAGTAAAAGTTTGTTTTTCATGTAAACGGATTTAAATGATCATAATCAGAAACAAACCCCTTCGAGATTAAAGCTCCTTTAATTACTGTTTTACAGGGATTTATGGGGCGATTTCAAAATAAAAGCCTGATTCAGCTGTTCTTGTTCGTAGTGCTGACCGGCGGTCAGTTTGGTTTTCACCAGAGACAAAGACGCTCACAGTGGGTTCATGGATTTCAATCATTAGAGCATCTCTTTGAGAGGACAATAGAGGATCTTTGTGTGTTTGTGTCCAGTTTTAGCTCGCTTTAGGACACCAAAGAGTTGAGTTTGTGCACTTTGTGTGAGTGAGAAAAACTTAAGTTATGTTCAGTGATGCTGATGTGTGTCCATTTTGTGGGGAAACACAGAAACTTCAGTTCTGGTCCCTCTAATGTCTGTAAAAAAAATACAAAAACAAAAAAAAAATCATCTTTAAAGTCTGATTGTTTTCATCTTTGTGGACGGATTATTTAATTCATGCTTTCTAGACTTTGTTACAGATTCATGTAGCTTCAGTTTATTTTAGATTAAATCTATGTTTCCAAGTTTTGATGTTTTTCCATTTCTGATGTTGCACATGAAGAACTCCATTACCCACAATGCTTTTCTTTCTGGTATCTGACAATCCACAGTCGCCTTGCTCTGTATTTGGGAGAAAACGAAGGATCAGATCAGCGGTCGTGTCTGAGACGTCTGTGTTTTTATCAGTACTGACTCGCTCACCAAAAGTTTTGGAGTATTTGTCCCTTTTTTTTGTTGTTGTTGTCGATGATGATGATGATGATGATGAAGTCCCGTTTGTTGGTGTTTTTATCTTTTATTTTTGTCGCTGTTGTCGAAAAGGAGAGTGGACCCTCTTCTTCTGGACTCTTTGGGACAAACTCACAGAGTGTACATGGACGCATTCAAAAACTGTCATGGCGGAAAAAAGCCTCAAAAAGCTGAAAAAAAAAAAGGAGTAAAAAAAGCGACAAAAAATACTGACACTGAACGAAGTGGACAAAGAATAAAAAGTCTATTTTTTATTCTGTATATATGGAAACAAGATTCCAGTATGTTGCATTGCTTTGTTGTACAAATCCAATGTGCTTGTGGCATTTTTCTAATCTAATTTATTTTACAGTCTTACAGTTTTTGTTTCTGCTTCACCATTAAAGATTAAAGGATGTACACAAAGGACAACCGCCGTCTCTGTGGGCCTCATATTTCACATTTATATTAGACAGACTGATTCTGTGTGTTTTATTGAACTGTACGACGTGATGATTTCAAGCAACTAATATGATCGGTATCAAAGTCTTCAACGATATCACAAGAACTTTTAACTTAAGAACGACTTAAAAAAAACTTAAACACACTTAAGTTTCAGCAGGGGGCGCTACACTTCTGTCAGTGCTGCTACGATACAAAATAAGGAAAAATGACGGTGAAATTTATTCGTATACAATGTTGTTTTTGGCAGGCATTTTAGATTTAGTTTTAGTCTTAGTCATTTTGACGAAATGCTTCTTCGTTTTAGTCCCATTTTAGTCATTTCTATCCTTGATAGTTTTCGTCTAGTTTTAGTCCGACGAAAACTCAAAAGGTTTTAGTCTAGTTTTAGTCTCTCGAAAAGGTGCCTTTTGAGGTTTGTGGTGTTTTTTCCCGACAGTTTGAAGCATGAAGAAGCTGTGGCTCCACAACTGTCGTCTGTCTCGTCTCCCCGTCCCCGTACAAGACATTGTGTTTTATTGTCACTTGGACTGTATCTGAAGTAGGACCATAAACCATCCCTTTTTTCGGCCACCGGGCACCGCTGCTGTGCCTGCCGCCACGGTGTGTGTGTGTGCGCGCCTCGTCCACCTGCCGCTCTGTGTATGTGTATGAGTGTGTGCGCGCAGCTGTGCGTGAGCGGGGCTTTTGGTGCGTGTGTGATGGGGGCGTGACTGTTAGGACAAAAAAAAGCATGTTTTGAAACTTTGTTCGTCCACCTAATAACAATTTAGTCTCGTCTCGTTCTCGTCTGACGAAAATGAATATAATTTTCGTCACATTTTAGTCTTTACAGAGCTTTGGTGACGTTCGTCTTAGTCTCATTTTCGTCAAGGATAAAAGGGGTCTGACGTCGTCATTTAAGTTTTCGTCCTGCCTGACGAAAACAACACTGTTCGTATAACACCCAAAACAAATAAAACTACAATTTTTTCTTCTTTCTGTTGTATAAATCTGCAACAGGAAATTAAAGGGATATTCCGGCGTAAAATTAACTATTGGTCAAACACGAGTAACACAGAGTTAGACCCCCCCTCCAGAGATGAATGTTGTCGACCGCTTGCTTCTCTAGTTATACCAACTTTAGTAACGACAACAGGATAGAAATACAGAGAGCCACGCCCTCAACCAAAACGCCACTCTATAGCCACAAATAATGCTCAGAACAGCACCTAACTTCATCAACAGGACATATAGGGTCACAGACATAGTACTAGACACCAAACATCTTTTTAACTTTGACTCATTTCTTTAACAAAGAGACTAAACACAACTCACCTACTCTCTTCCAGCAGACGCTTGTTTGTAGCGAGACCTCAGGCCAGTCCATTACAGACTACAGCGGGGTGCCGCAGCTCAAGGAAGAACATTTATGATCATTTTTTCATGGAAATACAATCAGACCGAGACGCTAAGACAGAAGAACTACTGAGTCTGTAAAATGATTAATATGGTGATTATTACTTCAAGGAAATGATAAAGAAATGATCATAAATGTTCTTCCTTGAGCTGCGGCACCCCGCTGTAGTCCGTGTCTGTGACCCTATATGTCCTGTTGATGAAGTTAGGTGCTGTTCTGAGCATTATTTGTGGCTATAGAGTGGCGTTTTGGTTGAGGGCGTGGCTCTCTGTATTTCTATCCTGCGGTCGTTACTAAAGTTGGTATAACTAGAGAAGGAAGCGGTCGACAACATTCATCTCTGGAGGGGGGTCTAACTCGGTGTTACGGTGGGTTTGACCCTAAATTAATTTTACCCCTTTAATCCCTAAAGTTTCACTTTCAGTCCGACTAAAACGTGTTTAAAAGTTTCAGTCTGACTGACGGTGAAAAAGGAAACTATGGCAAATGGCGGGACTGAATTTTGGTTGGATGGCAGCGAACGCCACGGTGCCAAACCGAAGGCTGAGAGACGTGCGCTGATGAAATCACGCTGGCTCGGTCCACTTCCTGTTTGGTGGTCTTCGTATGAAGCCAGAGAAACAGCAGCCAGGACCAACCAGAACAGAGAGTGTGTGTGTGTGTGTGTGTGTGTGTGTGTGTGTGTTTGGCGTGTTCAGTGAGCGGTGAGGTCATGGATTGAGGTTTGCGTGTGTGTGCTGTTGTTAGGAGATTTGAACAAACTGCATTTATTTCAAATTAAAGGGGAGGGCGAGTGTGTGCGCGGTTTGGGGATGGTTGTGGTTTCTCTGAGTCCTGTCATGATCACGTCTCGTGTTCTGATGTCAGCGAAGGGCGTGACGCGCCGAGTCCTCCAGCTTTTATTGTACGTGCAAACTCAGAAACACGCTAATCCGACCAAACCGAGTTTGAAACCAACACAAAGAAAATAGTTTCAGCTCCGTTTGGCAGCAGAGACTCGGGGCGAAGCAGAACCCATTGTTTTTGAAGGCATTCTCAGACGGGTCCAACAATCACGCTGCAACGGCCAAAACCATTTCAAAATCAAAGACAGGCAGCGAGTCAGAGAGAAGATCGAGAAACACATGGAGAGGTCAGAAATCAACTCAGTGACAGAACAGAACAACAACAACTGCAGCAGAGAAAGTCCAAATCCAGAACCAGAATCAGAACCACCTGGACTCCACCCCCACCACTGGGCGCCCACTCCATGTTGGTTCAGTATCAGCTGTGATGGGGGTGTTGGACCGGGTCAGCTGTCAGTCCATCATCCGTGTTCGTGTCGTCTCCAACGGTCTTGAGTAAACTCAACGTGATGGTCAGGAGTTTGGACGCCCAATCAGATCAGAGGATCTACCCCGCAATTTTCACCGCATCCGGAATGGCGGCAGTTTTCACGGTCTGTCAATTCCCACCGGATCTGTTTGTGAGGCGAAATTCTTGGCGGATTACGGACAGCGGGATTCACGTTCAATCGCGGGATAACGAGTCGTCTCTCTAAAGACAGACACATAGACATATAAGCAGTAGATTGTGTCCTTCCAGAGGAGGAAATCTACTTCTAGACTTCTAGAGTCATTTATCCGCCATGCTCCGGCGTCCAGAAAAAATCGAACTCTTGCGATCAGCTGAGGAGTCCGGCGATCCGCAGAGGAACGGAAAGAAGTCGGTGTAAATTGACACGTTAACTTGAATGGTTACGATCAGCTACGATCGGAGGATACGACCTTTTAGGAGACGATCAGGATGAAGGTGGAGGTTGGGGGTCAGACTTCATCCTGTCGTGTCACAGTCTCTAAAATCCACTCTCTCTGTGAGGCCGGCAGCTCTGAACATCCTGAAACGTTTCTGTCCCTCAGAGAAGATCCGTGAAGATCGAAGTTTAAAGTTTGATCTTGTAGTTTTTATTTCTTTTATTCCTGACTGAGCTCAAAGTTTCCGTACTTGTTGACTTTGTGGTAAAATTGTTGGTGTCTGAAGTCTCAGGCTGGTCTTCAGAGGGACAGTTAGTGAGCACAGATCTGAGAGCAGCCTGAGGAACAACTGGACCCTGAAGATCTCAGATATTCCTGCAGAAGTCCTCTTCATCTTCATCTTCATCTTCATCCTCACTGGAAATATGAAACTTTGAGGAGGTTCTTGTATCTGCAGGTGGATCTGAACGATCTCACAAAGATCTAGTTTGTTCACATCAAACTCGAGAAGAACCTGAAGTCTAAAAGAACGACCTGAACTCTCTGACTTTATCACATGTTCCTCTCGACGTTTAGTGACATGTTGTCCAGATCATAAAACCTGAAGTTTGGCTGATGGTGAAGAAACCGTTAAAAGCAGCAGGTTTTATGTGCGTGAACCTCGGAGGTGTTTTAAAAAGTTTTACATTCAGAGGAGGAAAAAAAAAAGAGTCTCTCAGGAGTCTGCAGGAGGTCCAGGAAGAGGGTCAGCAGATCCTGCTCTGCCAGAGAAAAGCACTCTGGGTAGTTTAACGCGGAAGTTTTTCTTGACGAATTACAGACATGGACGATTTGCTCAGGAATAAAATAACTCGAGGCAATTATCACAAATTACCGCATTTCCCTGAGTGATAACGGCGCTGAGGAGAGCAGGCCGGCTCACAGGACTCAGGCAGGGCGTGACGGACTCTCATTTCCCCTCAGCAGACCAGCAGACCAGCAGACCAGCAGACCAGGACTGAGGACCTGAGATTGTGTCTTCTCCTTAAACGTTTAATTTTCTGCTCACAGACGGAGATGAGATCTAAACGTGTCCTGAAGAGGGTCTGACCTGACGGAGAAGATCAGGATCAGGATCAGGATCAGGATCAGGTGGATCCATCCTGCAGAGTTCTGATCTGATAAGAACCGGGTCAGAGTCCTGGGAGGGGGGCTACAGTGGATCTACTGTTAGAGTCACTGTGGAATTACAGTAAACAAAGTCTTTTCCCTGCAGAGCGCCCCCTACAGGCCTGGAGCTCCTGTTCACAGCGTTTGTTCCGTCTTTTTTTTCACTGTTGTTGTTTGTTTTCCACGTTTGTTTTGCTCATTAACGCCTGATCTTCTGTCAGGATGAAGAGAAGAAACAAAAGAAGAAAATCTTCTTCATCAAACAGGAACTGAAGATCCAGGTTTCTGCACCATCGACGTTCTTTCACTAGATTTAACCCTCAAACACCATCATCAAAATATCAAACTAGGACAAAACACGACAAATGAAAAAGTTTTCTTTTATTTTTAACTGTTTAATGTCCAAAAGAAAAACTGACATGAGGGACCAGATAAAAACTAAATCACTGAAATTAAACATTCATCAACAACAAAATTACTAAAAATAAAAATAGATCTGGATCGGCTCCTCTCCACTCCGGCACTGCAGGCGGATCAAATCCACAAGAATTATAATCACTGTGTGATTCCACTGAATCCGTTCCACGGGTGATAGATATATTTTTTTTCTAGGATGGTAGGGGAAAGTCCCGCCTCCTTTGCCTCTGATTGGCTAGAAAACTTGGAAACGTCATCACACGCTCAAACCAAGAGAGAACCAGAATCTGTCAGATCTGGAGTAAAAATGACTGAAATATTTCTGATCTCCATCTGAATTCTCCTAAAATCAGGACTTTGTGATTGTTATTCAGAACCACTGAGCTGAATAAAGAGAGCAGGTAAACTCCAGGACCGCTCTGACTGACCTTATTCCCTACATGCAGCTAAAAAACAACCCAGACCTACTTTACCCTCCATCACTAACATCAGCCTGTGAACACGAGTCTGTGGGAGAAAGCAGGTTAAACAAAGATGTGAAAGGAAACGCTGGAGATACTCAGACAAACAACATCATGAAGATCACCTGGAGGTCACTTCACACATCTATAATCAGGACAGGTGCGTCGGAGAGCCGGAGGGGAAAACCCCGCTCTCTGTCCAACTCACAGAAACAGAATCGAGGTTTCAGGACCTTCATCAGGCAGAAACATTAAATCCTCTTTTTCTGGACGGAGCGCCGGGGTTTTCCTCTGAGCAGATTTAAGACGGAAACAAAAAGAGTGATTCTGTGTTTCAGATCCAGGACCGCCAACATGATCTCCTAAAAGTTTGAAGTCAGAACTTGGAGAAGTTGATGTTCACCTTGTGACCGCGATGACTCAGAGCTGGAACGTCATCCTGCTGCGTTATCTTTAGACGGCACAAACATAATAACATAATGGAGCAGAAACTCTGACTCTGCAGACGCATGTCTGAGATATTTTCAAACATCATCCACAAATATCACTCAAGGAAACGCTGACGTGATGACCACAACCAGGACCACGGAAAAACCTCTGAAGACCACAAACT